ACCTTAATTTATTTTTACAAAACGGAAATGTCAATTTAATAGTTAAAATTGATTTTCAGTAAATATATTCTAGTATTTACTTTCCTTTTTTTAAGTTTTTAATAAATTTGTTTAAATTTTATTTCTAGTTGGTTTGTTGAAAATTTATTGTACATAGTATTTAAATTCGTCATTAATTAATTTCACGGTTTATCTTTTAAAATTTGTTACCATCGAAAAAACAAACAGTTGAAAGTAAAGTTTTTGCAAAATTTTAAATTAAAATAAATAAACATCCACATCAAAACTCTTGTTCTTCTTCAAAGTTTGAAGTATTCAAATAAATACTCTCTCATCATTTAAAAATGTCATGAGACATGAGAGTAATAACTTTTGAAAAGGATTACAAGCAAAATGCTCGTATAAAACATAAATGAAAAATGTATTAAAAACAGCACTATATCCCTACAAACATTTTCTATTGCGGAAGTTACCCGTGTGAAACTTCCAAACGTGCTAAAAGCTCGCCAGCGATGTTGCGGAAGTATAAGAATTCTTGTCACCAGTCGGGAAGAACTGATGCCGAGCTGGGGAACGTCTAATAGTAACTTGGAAGATACTTCTGGAAGACCCGCAGAAGAAACTTCTAGATGACTCTTGGAAGTAAGGTATTGCCAAAGACTCTTCTAGATGTGACTAGGAAGTCACTTCTTGAAGTGACTACCTAGTATCCTCTAGAAGATGAGTTTTCTCTTCTTCTAGAAGAAGAGTATTCTCTTCTTCTTGAAGAAGAGTATTCTCTTCTTCTTGAAGATGAGTATTCTCTTCTTCTAGAAGATGAGTATTCTCGTCTTCTAGAAGATGAGTTTTCTCTTCTTCTATTTGTATACTCACCAAAATAAAATCTATAAAAATAAATCTAAATAAAATGAAATTTTATAGTTTTTATTGAATTAATTGAAATTAAAATAGTAGAAAAAATAACAGATTTAACAACTAATCTAAAAAAAGTAATATATGTACATTAGACCGACTCACAAAAAATGGTGCTTGAGTTACCCCCCTCATAATATTCGCTGTTATGTAATATGATGTTACCCAAAATATTTTCGGTTAAGTGTTGTCCATTCGTGAGCTGGACAGTTTTAAAGAAAATATCGTATGGGAACACGATTCTTCATGTTAAATTCAATATTTTATCCAGCTTCAAAAAATCTTTGTTATGTTTTATAATGGTTCCCAAAATATTTCTAGTCTATCGGTGGCCGTTCGTGAGCTGAACCGGTTACAAAAAAGTCCCTTTTTAGTTATTTTGTTTTAAATTATACAGCATTTCTTAAACAATATATACAGTATGTGGTATCATTTGAAAGGTTTTTTGAAGCCAAGTCTAGTGGTGCGCAAAATTTGCAAAATTGTGCATATATTTAATTTTTCTTAGTAAAAACCTAACAATTTTAAATATTTTGGAATATGACAATTATAAGCAAACGGTTATTTATGATTAATACATCATTGGACGCGACTTTAAAATACCTTTTAAACGATACCCCGTATTGGATATTTTGTTTCAAAACAAACAAAAATTTAAAAAAAATAATTCCAAAATACCTTTTTTTAATTTGGTTCAGTGGTCACTTAAAATATTTTGGGAATCATCATAAAACAAAGCAAGGTAAATTTTGGGAGGGGTAACAAAAACACGTTTTTGCTTTCCATACAGAGGGAGTCGGTCTAATGTACATATGTATCAAAAATTTAGAATTATTACCTTATAATAAGATAATTTTCAGGGAGTCTGTATTAATATTCCAACTGCTGACTGGTATACTCCCAAAAATTGTAAAACGTTGGACTCTAAAATATTTTTGTAGTTCTTCATCAATTTTATGATTAATCCATCAAATTGTAAGAGTTATATTATTGAACGCATTAATCCTTCAACGAAATAAACCAAAATAATGTTATAATTAATATTGAATATACATACTTTTGTATTTATTGAAATTACCAGTTATACTTTAGGAAGCAATAAAAATAGGATTCTCTCATGTCCAATACATTTACCACCAAAGTTTAAACGGTCAGATCCATTTTTTACATTTTCTGCAAATAATCGACATTTTTAGTAGAACCACGTGATGAAATAAGACATTTATAACTTACCAGATCCCTTTTTTATATTTTAATTCAGTTAGAAGTATTTTAATATTAGCTACTGCTTTCTAAAAAATAAAATAATTAAAAATTAATTAATTTATTTATTTATTGTTTTGAATCAATAAAAACATTACCTTTCATGAACATTTTTTCAATAACTTGGAATTAAACCGTCTATAAAGATCTGAAGTCATGGATTATTTTTTAAATTATTTACAGTCACTAACGATAGAAACACCTTAACGACCCTAAACGGGATATTGCTTTTGACATTTTTTGTTTGCTCTCTTCTAATACTTAGGTTCAATATCTTGGGAACAGCATGCTAAATATTAAGAATATTAGTATCTTATGATAGGTCATAGAAAGACCTGGTGTTAATAACTAAAAAAGTACCTATAATTAGAATAATTAAATCCAAAGCTATATGGAAATTAATAAAATTGTATTTATTTAAAAAAGGTGGGTTTAAAACTATCTGATTTCAATATTAAATATCTTATATGGGCAATTTCGTGTCGAGTGACCCAAGTCAAAAAATAATTTATGTATAAAACAGTAGTATTAATTTCAATATAGTGATTCCAGACCTAAACGCGCAAATAGTTTTAAAAATATTGAAAGTTAAGATTTAACTCAAATAAATCTAAATATGTTAAAAATGCAATGTTCATCAAATGAAAGCCGAAATGTACAACTTGAAAAAGTCTTTAAATGCTTATACCTCCTAAACGAATTAAGAGAGAGTCGAAATTTAATATAAAAACATTTTTAATGAAACATATTAGACTTTTTTAAAAATAATGGAAATGGAAGCCGTTTAGAGTTGTTAACATATTCCTAAAATAGTATTTTAATATGACAACTTACTTTTTAATTTTATTTATATAATCCTTCCTTATACTTTTTGGTATATATTTAATACACTTCGCCAATTAAGAAAACCTTCTTAAATGTTTATTAACAGTTGATTTTTAACACAACACTGTCATATTGTTTTTTATTACTTAAGATTCACAATATTTTAATTACACTATTTTTCTATGAACATTAAATTCAAGAACTCATTTAAGTTTTACGATGAATAATTAAAACTGAACATGACTGAACAAAACACAAAACATCACTGAACTTAACAAAATTTCTGCATTATTTATTTTTATTTTTTTTTTTTTCACGCTAAAAAATGGAGTATTTATATTTTTTGTTTTTGTACTCTTCTTACTATCATCCGGAAGTAACCTAAAAGTATACTTCCAGACGGCGAAAACTAGAAATCAATGTATTTCGTTTTTGTAAAATGTGTGCTCTCGTCTGACAATTGTACAGAAGTGACTACAATCCACACTTCCAGATGAATAAAATACAACATTAATGTGAACACTCTTCAAACTGTCTTCCAGAAGTGACATAAACATACAAATCAAGAAGATACAAATTAGGAAACAATGTATTTTGTTATTGTAAAATGTGTGTTCTCACCCAACTCTCATACAGAAGTCACTAAAACGTATACTTCCAGATGAAAAAAATTCAACAGGCATGGTTTTTTGTTTAAGCAAAATGGATGCACTCTTCTAACTATCATCCGGAAGTAACTTAAAAGTATATTTCTAGAAGACGAAAATTCGAAATCAATGTATTTTGTTTTTGTAAAATGTGTGTTCTCGTCTGACAATCGTCCAGAAGTGTTTCTGACGTGGCGTCTGGGGTGATGCGCAATAGTTTTCTCTTTTAAATGTTTGAAGGGATGCATGTAGATCAGTGGTGCTCAAACACATACTACCATAGACTACCATAGTTTTATTTGTATTGGTAAAGCAGCAGAGAACAGAATTCAATTCAAAATAAAAGTATACTAATAAAATGACTACAAACTATAAAGTATATGCTAACTGTCAAATATTTATTATGGATTTTGACAGCCAGCGTATAGCAACGTCTATATATAAAAAACTATCAACTGTTCTCCCATGTTCTTCTACATTAATTCGGCTATCTCAAAATTTTGTTGTTGTATTTCTGTGTGTATTTTAAAAACGTCGCGGACAGACCTTGCTTTGACAAGTGCTGATCAGCAACTGATTTGATTTTGTTTTTCAAGTTGAGAGCAAACCAACTGATATTGCTCATTATAAAAAGAAGAAGAATTAAACCTATAGTGTATGTGTATCAACTTAGCGTCAGCAGAATTTTCTTACCCTATCACGCGTGCTATGACACGGCCATATTGAGCTTCTCTGATGTAGATTAAAAGTTTAAATTTGTCAAGTTAAAGTTTAGGAAGAAGCGTAGAAAAAAAACCCTGAGTTAGTATATCGATAAATTCAATGATGTCAATATGTCGGTTAAGGAATGCAATGAAAAAGGTATCTTTTATTTTTTCAAAAGGAACCTTTTTCAGTTCATTAGTTGACGTTCATAACCTTGGAAAAGGTAAAAGTACCTTAAAGTCTCCAATATATAGGTTAAATATATCATGAAAAGTACTAGTTGAAGAAAAAAAAAGTACCGAAAATCCTTTTATACGGATTTTCATTCACAGAGCATTCAAAAATGTTCTGTGAAATTAACAGCCTAAATACTAATCCTTATAAATGTAAACAAACCACTAAATAAAAAACGCCAAATTAGCCACACTTTAACTACTTAATACAAATTCATTATTCACATTTTTGTCTTGACGATGATGACGATGACTTTTCGCAAACAATGTTGTAGTTATTTTCCCTACTAAAAATTTACACACCGAAAAAAAATAGCAAAACGACAACAAAAAAAAAATTAAGCGCCAACAATTACGTTACATTTTTCACAAACAATGTTGCAATTTTTCTTTTGTATTTCTTCCCATTTTATAGCATGGATGCTGGGCTGGCTAATGTGCAAGACGGTTCCCTATATACAGGGTGTATCGGTGGCAGCATCTGTTTACAGTTTAATAGCGGTATCATTAGACAGGTAAGTACCTTAAGAAAATAACACTTAAATGAACAAACACTTTTTTGGCAATGTTCATTTTATTTAAAAAAAAGATTTTTATTTTATGTTTATATAGTATAAGTATACATTTTTTTTGTTGCAAAAAGAAGTTTTTTTTTGGGAGGGAGGGATTTTACAGGATTAGGTTAGATAAGGTTTAACAACATGGAAAAATTCCATCAACAACTCAATGATGAGCTATAACTGCAGGATGAGCATGATGCACGGGTACTAAAGGTACCACTGGCTTAACTACTGGTACAACAGGTACTACAGGTTTAACAACATGCACCGCTTTAACAGGGGCAGGATGTTGAATAACATGGCTGCAGACAAAAGAGAAGCAATTAATTTAATACAGAGTAATTAAGCAGAGAACAGCTTATACTTACGAGTGCACAGCATGGGCAGCATGATGATGTATGGCAGGACCACCATGGGCTGCAACAGGATGGGTTACCACTGGAGCTACCACTACGCCTGGCTCAGCAACAGCAATAGCAAAGATAGACAAAACCAACAACTGGAACAAAAAAAATACAAAACAAATATTTAATATTTCTCATACAAAATGACTAAAACTTAAGTAGATAAATTGAAATTGCTCCATAGCCAAAGGCGCCAATTATTCATTCCCCAATTGTCTACTTTCTTTAATACACTCGACTGAATAAAATACACTTTAACTTACTAGTTTGAACATGATGATAATGAGGTTTGTGAATTGTTGTTGTTAAAAAAGGATGAAGTTTTTTAAATGTTGAATTTGGTTTGGCAAATGATTTGCAACTGATGTTAAACCTAAAACTTGACGATGCTTTTATACTCTTTAAACAAAGTGTGTGCTTAAGTATAATATCGAAAATTCTATTCTAAATTGTGTGTGATTTTAGTTTTTTTTTTGTATTCCACATGCCTGCTAAAACACACCAGACACATGACGCCTGTTTCAACTTAAACTTAAGTTAGAAAATATTAAAAAAAAAAACACTTGAAATTGTTGAAATTGAAACTAGATGACCGCCGTTTTATTGTCAGTATTATTATTGTTGTTGTTGTATGTGTTGTGTTTAGTACGCTGCGTACTATTTAGTATTCAATTTACTACTTACTAACTACCGGCGTGATTGTAGCCAGCCTCTCTTTCTCATAGTGAAGTTAGATAGTTTTATTATTATACTACGTCCTCCTTTCCATTCATACTACTTCATGTGTACACCATTTCCAAGGTTTTTTTTGAACTTTTTTATCATTTACAATGCTAACTGCTTATAAATGATTTATTTAACAAAAATGTTTTGTCTATACAAGCGGCTTGACAAACAAGTCAATATTTTAAGTTTTTGCAAACCTATTGTGTAGTGTGCGGGAGCATTTCGAGTTTATTATGGAAACAGTGTATTGAGTAGTAGTAAAAGTTACAGTTAAATAAGTAAACACTTCCAAACGGGAATGCAAGGAGACATCAAGTCTATCATAGAAAAATTGTTTCACATACTAAGTACGAAAAAATCTACCACACCACCCCATTCTCTCTTAATATTTAAAGTTACTATAAACATGTAGTAAGCAAGTTCCATATTAGGCTGTGTCGAATCTTATTTACCCTTCTCCATAGTGTCCTCTTTTTAGATTTTCATTCAATCAAGACGTTGCGTCTTTTATTCTATGCTTCTAGGTTTAATTTAAAAAAGATGTGAAAAGTACAAATTGAAGAACGAAAAAGTACCAAAAATACCCTTTTTATCGGTTCTCATTTACTCCGGGCTCTGAATGCTTGATTGATTGATTAAGGGGGCACCAAGCACTACGACCCAAGTTAGGAACCACCCAAAGATTTTGGGGGTCACCTTTGACAGCCTGTTTACTTCCTCAGCTCATGCCACTGCAATTACGCACAAATTGCGAAGTAGAAACAAGGTCCTCAAAGCGCTAGCCGGCAGCACTTGGGGAATGGACAAAGAAACCTTGTTGGCTACCTATAAAACAATTGGCCGGTCAGTGGTCAATTATGCTGCCCCAGTGTGGTCTCCATCGCTGAGTGATACCCAGTGGAGAAATATTCAAAGCTGCCAAAATGCTGCCCTAAGGACTGTAACGGGCTGCATGCAAATAACCTCAGAACACCATCTACATGAGGAAACGAAGGTGCTCCCAGTCAAGGAACATAATGACATGCTGACTAAACAGTTCCTCCTGGGATGTCACCGGAGGAGTCATCCCAACTTTAACATCACACAGTTGGATGCTCCCCCGAGGCATGTCAGGAAGGACCTTCGTATACGAGTTATGTTCAAGATCCCTTAGATCGGACTTCGTATACAGCAGCTTTGAACGACATTCATAGAGACGCCATCAATACCGCGGTTTCAGGTTACCGCATGAATGTCGTTCTTGAAGGTCGCCCACCGCCCATAGCAGAAATAGAGAAGAACCTGCCGCGGAAAACAAGAGTTGCTCTGGCACAACTGAGATCGGGATGGAGCAACAGGCTCAACGCCTACTGGTCCCGCATAGACCGTGCCGTCCCCAATATATGCCCATCTTGTGGACAGGGTCCCCATGATACCCACCACATATTCAACTGTCCAGCCCACCCTACTTCACTTAGCCCAATGGATTTATGGACTAACCCTGTTGAAGTAGCCCAATTTCTTGGCTTGGACCTAAATACAGAACCCCCGGATTAAAATTGTATAGTTTAAGCTGTTACAACAACAACAGCTCAAGTTAGGATCTTTTGTGCAGCACTTTTGGTTGTCCATTGGACATTAAGTTCACGTATGAATCTTAAACTTTATGTTCTAGACGGTGAGAAATTGAATAATTCATTTCTGAGAGTCCATAATGGCTGACAGTCACAAAGTAGATGTTCAGAGGTTTCATCATGCATTTCGCAGAATCTGCATAGCCTCTTCACATTGTTACCAAGAATGTGCTGGGGGTATCTAAGTCCACAGTGTCCGGTATAAAGTTCTGTTAGTAATTTTAGATCACTCTTGTTAAGTGACTGTAACTTTTGGCATTTACCTTTCGTTAGCATTATGAAGCCTTTTGCCTGTCTGAGTCCTGATATTGACTCCCAGTGGTGGAGAAATTCAGTTTCAATATATGAATCGACTTTTTCCCTAATGTATCCTTTGGGGATACCAAAGAATAGTTCTGGTTCAATAAATGGGCGCCGTGCGCCCCTGTTTGCCAGACAATCTGATCTTTCATTGCCAGAGTGTCCTTCATGGCGAGGTATCCAACATAGTTTGAGTTTATTATGTTTACCCAGTTCATTTAGAGATGTCAAACAGTCAAGTACGACACCCGACCTGATTTCATATGATAGTAAAGCATTAAGGGCGGCCTGACTATACGACATCACAAATATCTTTAATCCTCTCAGTTTTCTTCTCTGACATTCTCTAATGCAAATGATAATTGCATACACCTCTGCCACTCTGATTGCGTAATTTCTAGGTTCAATATTATAGAAAACTCACAGAGTACCTTTTGAAGTACAAAAAACTACCAAAAAGTCCCCTTTTATTGGTTCTTATTTACTCCTGGCTTTACATGCTTAACATTATGTTTCAAGGTCATAGATAGATAGAAAATTCAAAAAGTACATTTTTAAGAACGAAAAAGTACCAAAAAATACCCTTTTTATTGGTTCTCATTTACTCCGGGCTCTACATGCTTAACTTTATGTTTCAATATAATAGAAAATTCAAAAAGTACTAACTAAAGAACGAAAAAATACCCCAAAAAATAGTCCTTGGTACATGGATTACAAACAATTCTGAAAATTAAAAATAAAAATTTTTAAAATTTATTTTAAATTTTTTATATTTTTCCCAATCCTGCTAAATTTCTCACACACAATTTTCCATCCTTGATTTTGGCATTAAGAAATCAATAACAACACACAGTTTTATAAGTAAGATTGCCTCAGATTTTTGATCAGTTATTTAAGGACCGATTTTGCTGATGTTAAACAGGAAACTTCTCAAAAGCACGTCTGAATTATAGATATATATTGGATCCAGAAGATATCTGAGATCTTGAAAAAATAGATTTCAATAAACATGCATATGGACAGACAAAAATATCGACGGACATATGATACGGACGGACATATACATATACCTTATAGGCTCGGAAAATTTATATGATATTATAGCAATTACAAACGGAATGACAAACTTTACATATGTATACCCTTCTCATGATGGTGAAGGGTATAAAAATACTACAACTTTAATGTTAAATTATACAAACGTAATTGTCACATTTTACACACTTGACAACAAAATAATGAAAATGCTGCAATAGCAAGAAAATTAAACATGCTGTCAGTTTTTATTAAAAGTATTATGCATTATTTCTTGTAATAAAAAAAAAAACATACACACACACAATTATTTGGAATTACAAACCGATCGGTAGACAAATAGCAAACATGAAAGTGCTCATATGTTGAAATCAATTGATTTTTTATTAAAAACAAAATGTATCTAAAAACACACGTACATACATATGTATATTTAGCGGTTTTTGTAACATTTAAGGTAAACAACGTTATGTTTTAATATTGTATTAATAATGTTTATGCCACACAAATAGCATTAGATCATTTGATTTGAAATTAAGTTGATTTTTTTTTTTTGCAAAAAAAAACTTCCATTATAACTCGTGCTGTTGGTTAACAATTTATGTTTTCATGTGTAACTGTGACTGTAACTACGCATATGTATGTTTGTATGTAAGTAATGAAATTTATTGAGTGAATAAATCCAATAGATTAGTTTATTTTTTTTATTGCAAAATAAGATCAAGTTCACATGTTAAACTCCTTGACCACTTCTTAAACTGATAAATAACACACTGAGCTGTGAACTGAATAAAATGTGTGTAATAGCTTACGCGTTTAATTTTTATTCTAATGCTAATAAATTTTCTATGCTAATTTTAAATTAATTTAAATATTTAATTAAAACTGATGAAATATTTCAAACAAATTTCTCTTACAGATTCATTGCCATCTGGTGGCCCCTGCGTCAACTCTCAAAAAGTCGCGCCCGTTTTATGATACTCTGCATATGGATTATAGCCTTTGGTACCACCATACCCTGGGCCCTTTATTTTGATTTAGTCCCTGCGGCCGAAGCCTTTCCCTCTGCTCCCGATATGTATTTGTGTCAAGAGGTTTGGCCACCTGGTACCAGTGGTAATTTGTATTTTCTATTGGCACATCTGTTGGCCTGTTATGTTCTGCCCATGGTGTTGATAACCTTGTGTTATGTTTTAATATGGATTAAAGTGTCAACGCGCTCTATACCTGGCGATACCAAGGATGCCCAAATGGACCGTATGCAACAAAAGTCCAAAGTGAAGGTTATAAAAATGTTAGTGGCTGTGGTCATATTGTTTGTATTATCCTGGCTGCCGTTGTATGTAATATTTGCACGAATTAAATTTGGTAAGTAGAACAAATATTACATTATATATTATACAACTAGATATAGACGGATAAAACCTATAGTATGTATGTAGTTCATAAAAAAAGCCATTCGATTTTTAAAATAACTATTCGTTCAATTTGTTCGTTTTGCTTATTATTTGGTCTTTTTTAGTTTTGTTTAAATTTGGTTGTTTTTCCGGTTGAAGGTTGTTTGAAATTGTGTGTTGTTTTTGTTTTTTTAGAGGAAAAATATACTGAAAACTTACAGCCAAACATTAGTAAATAGTTTACCTTGCATATCTCTTCAACATAGTTTCATTATAAAATGCAATATTAAGCCGCCTCCCAAACTATAACTCCCACTCGTTCTACCTCTCTCTTTCTATTACCTTCAAATAGTTTTACACTCGCAAAAAGTTTTAAAGGAAATATGTGTTATTAACAATATTAGTTAACTAATTTCCGAAACTATTCTCTCTTCTTAAGTGATTTTCCATAAAATGCTCTCTTTAAGAAAATTTACTAAAAGTTACCTTGCTGTGTAAAAAAATCTTTAGACTAGACTATAGACTAGACTATAGACTAGACTATAGACTAGACTATAGACTAGACTATAGACTAGACTATAGGACTAGACTATATGACTAGACTATAGACTAGACTATAGACTAGACTATAGACTAGACTATAGACTAGACTATAGACTAGACTATAGACTAGACTATAGACTAGACTATAGACTAGACTATAGACTAGACTATAGACTAGACTATAGACTCGACTATAGACTAGACTATAGACTAGACTATAGACTAGACTATAGACTAGACTATAGACTAGACTATAGACTAGACTATAGACTAGACTATAGACTAGACTATAGACTAGACTATAGACTAGACTATAGACTAGACTATAGACTAGACTATAGACTAGACTATAGACTAGACTATAGACTAGACTATAGACTAGACTATAGACTAGACTATAGACTAGACTATAGACTAGACTATAGACTAGACTATAGACTAGACTATAGACTAGACTATAGACTAGACTATAGACTAGACTATAGACTAGACTATAGACTAGACTATAGACTAGACTATAGACTAGACTATAGACTAGACTATAGACTAGACTATAGACTAGACTATATACTAGACTATAGACTAGACTATAGACTAGACTATAGACTAGACTATAGACTAGACTATATACTAGACTATAGACTAGACTATAGATTAGACTATAGACTAGACTATAGACTATATACTAGACTATAGACTAGACTATAGACTATACTATAGACTATACTATAGACTATAGACTATACTATAGACTATACTATAGACTAGACTATAGACTAGATTATAGACTAGACTATAGACTAGACTATAGACTAGACTATAGATTAGACAAACATTTTCCTTAACGTTTCCTTTTATATAGAATTTAGATTAAATATAATATGAGAAATTTTAAGTAACAGCAATTTCAAATATCTTTTTAGTGTGACAGGTGCAAATTCATTAGGTATTTCCTTTAGTTGCTACTAAAGCTATTGATACAAGCATCCTTAAATACGTAAACTCTTTGTCACATATCGTCCTTGAATAAACTATTCCACTTTAAAAACATACATATTCGTATAAGTTTTTCACAGATTTTTTTTATTAATAATAATTTTTGAGTGTAATAACAACAAACTAATATGCACTATATGTATATACATACTACTTCCATATAAATTTGTAAGAGTATAATATTTATATTTGTTGTTTTTTTGCAAAAATATTTTTTTTTCTATTTTCAATGTCAATCGCACAATTTCTTCATAAACATTTTCACACACACCAACACACATTTCTTCATCATACGTTTAGGTGGTGAGATATCCATTGAGGAGAGTGAAATCTTAAACAAGGTCACACCATTTGCTCAGTGGCTGGGCTCGTCCAATTCATGCATCAATCCCATATTGTATGCATTCTTTAATAAGAAATATAGACGAGGTTTTGCCGCCATAATCAAATCACGCTCCTGTTGCGGCCGTTTGAGGTGAGTTTTTTTGTTCACTACTATCACTCTCTGTATGTGATAATGTGAAAAGAACTAACAACAACAACTTTGACATACATTATCACATATACTTGCTGTATGTGTGTGTGTGTGTTTAAGTGCCAGAGTGCAAGTTGTGTTCAAGTTCATTTCAAAAACAATTACAAGGTTATTTTTGGAGTGCAGTTTCTGTTTTTTTAAATTAAATCTTTTTGTTTTCGATTTTTACACAGGTATTATGACAATGTTGCCATTGCCTCTTCCACCACCAGTACCAGCCGTCGCAAATCCTCTCATTATCAACATGGCTCCCGAAAAAGCCCCAGCAGCCCCGGCTTACGTAAAACCAATGCCGTCTCTTATATTTACGAGCACAACTCTTTACGCCGCCACAATTTAATGTGCAAACAGGACAGCAATTTATCACAACAGATGCTATTGAAACAGGATTCTCATGGTTCACGTCAATATCTGATCAAACAGGAGAGTGCCTCTAGTGATGGCTCACGTCGTCTATTGTGTCAGCAGGATAGTAATGGTTCAAAGGTGTCATTGTCGAAACAGGATTCTGTTGTATCCTATTATTTGGAGAACAAACGTGCTGGTCACAATCTTCAAGATTCGTTTTCCACACAGGATTCTATATCGGTAGATTCGCGACGTAATACCATGACCCGTAGCAATGAAAATGGTTCACCAGTAGTGGGTGCTGCTGCAGGGCCATCTTTGCTGGAGCATAAACGCCAGAAGTTTGTGAAACAAGATTCGGTTATATCGTTTGTTGATCAAAGGCCAGGTGAGTGCAATTGTTTATATAGAAAAGTATTTCAATATATAGAAACCTAATCTCACGCTATACTGTAGACTAGACTGAAGACTTGACTGAAGACTTGACTATAGACTAGACTATAGACTAGACTATAGACTAGACTATAGACTAGACTATAGACTAGACTATAGACTAGACTATAGACTAGACTATAGACTAGACTATAGACTAGACTATAGACTAGACTATAGACTAGACTATAGACTAGACTATAGACTAGACTATAGACTAGACTATAGACTAGACTATAGACTAGACTATAGACTAGACTATAGACTAGACTATAGACTAGACTATAGACTAGACTATAGACTAGACTATAGACTAGACTATAGACTAGACTATAGACTAGACTATAGACTAGACTATAGACTAGACTATAGACTAGACTATAGACTAGACTATAGACTAGACTATAGACTAGACTATAGACTAGACTATAGACTAGACTATAGACTAGACTATAGACTAGACTATAGACTAGACTATAGACTAGACTAGACTAGACTATAGACTAGACTATAGACTAGACTATAGACTAGACTATAGACTAGACTATAGACTAGACTATAGACTAGACTATAGACTAGACTATAGACTAGACTATAGACTAGACTATAGACTAGACTATAGACTAGACTATAGACTAGACTATAGACTAGACTATAGACTAGACTATAGACTAGACTATAGACTAGACTATAGACTAGACTAACTAGACTATAGACTAGACTATAGACTAGACTATAGACTAGACTATAGACTAGACTATAGACTAGACTATAGACTAGACTATAGACTAGACTATAGACTAGACTATAGACTAGACTATAGACTAGACTATAGACTAGACTATAGACTAGACTATAGACTAGACTATAGACTAGACTATAGACTAGACTATAGACTAGACTATAGACTAGACTATAGACTAGACTATAGACTAGACTATAGACTAGACTATAGACTAGACTATAGACTAGACTATAGACTAGACTATAGACTAGACTATAGACTAGACTATAGACTAGACTATAGACTAGACTATAGACTAGACTATAGACTAGACTATAGACTAGACTAGACTAGACTATAGACTAGACTATAGACTAGACTATAGACTAGACTATAGACTAGACTATAGACTAGACTATAGACTAGACTATAGACTAGACTATAGACTAGACTATAGACTAGACTATAGACTAGACTATAGACTAGACTATAGACTAGACTATAGACTAGACTATAGACTAGACTATAGACTAGACTATAGACTAGACTATAGACTAGACTATAGACTAGACTATAGACTAGACTATAGACTAGACTATAGACTAGACTATAGACTAGACTATAGACTAGACTATAGACTAGACTATAGACTAGACTATAGACTAGACTATAGACTAGACTATAGACTAGACTATAGACTAGACTATAGACTAGACTATAGACTAGACTATAGACTAGACTATAGACTAGACTATAGACTAGACTATAGACTAGACTATAGACTAGACTATAGACTAGACTATAGACTAGACTATAGACTAGACTATAGACTAGACTATAGACTAGACTATAGACTAGACTATAGACTAGACTATAGACTAGACTATAGACTAGACTATAGACTAGACTATAGACTAGACTATAGACTAGACTATAGACTAGACTATAGACTAGACTATAGACTAGATAGACTAGACTATAGACTAGACTATAGACTAGACTATAGACTAGACTATAGACTAGACTATAGACACTAGACTATAGACTAGACTATAGACTAGACTATAGACTAGACTATAGACTAGACTATAGACTAGACTATAGACTAGACTATAGACTAGACTATAGACTAGGACTATAGACTAGACTATAGACTAGACTATAGACTAGACTAGACTATAGACTAGACTAGACTATAGACTAGACTATATATAGACTAGACTATAGACTAGACTATAGACTAGACTATAGACTAGACTATAGACTAGACTATAGACTAGACTATAGACTAGACTATAGACTAGACTATAGACTAGACTATAGACTAGACTATAGACTAGACTATAGACTAGACTATAGACTAGACTATAGACTAGACTATAGACTAGACTATAGACTAGACTATAGACTAGACTATAGACTAGACTATAGCTAGACTATAGACTAGACTATAGACTAGACTATAGACTAGACTATAGACTAGACTATAGACTAGCTGACTATAGACTAGACTATAGACTAGACTATAGACTAGACTAGACTAGACTAGACTAGACTAGACTATGACTAGACTATGACTAGACTATAGGACTAGACTATAGACTAGACTATAGACTAGACTATAGACTAGACTATAGACTAGACTATAGACTAGACATAGACTAGACTATAGACTAGACTATAGACTAGACTATAGACTAGACTATAGACTAGACTATAGACTAGACTATAGACTAGACTATAGACTAGACTATAGACTAGACTATAGACTAGACTATAGACTAGACTATAGACTAGACTATAGACTAGACTATAGACTAGACATAGACTAGACTATAGACTAGACTATAGACTAGACTATAGACTAGACTATAGACTAGACTATAGACTAGACTATAGACTAGACTATAGACTAGACTATAGACTAGACTATAGACTAGACTAGACTCTGATAGGACCTAGACTAGACTATAGACTAGACTATAGACTAGACTATAGACTAGACTATAGACTAGACTATAGACTAGACTATAGACTAGACTATAGACTAGACTATAGACTAGGACTATAGACTAGACTATAGACTAGACTATAGACTAGACTATAGACTACTAGACTACTATAGACTAGACTATAGATAGACTATTATGACTATAGACTTAGACTATAGACTAGACTATAGACTAGACTATAGACTAGGACTATAGACTAGACTATAGACTAGGACTATAGCTAGACTATAGACTAGACTATAGACAGATATAGACTAGACTATAGACTAGACTATAGACTAGACTATAGACTAGACTATAGACTAGACTATTAGACTGACTATAGACTAGACTATAGACTAGACTATAGCACTAGACTATAGACTAGACTATAGACTAGACTATAGACTAGACTATAGACTAGACTATAGACTAGACTATAGACTAGACTATGACTAGACCTATAGACTAGACTATAGACTAGACTATAGATAGACTATAGACTAGACTTAACTATAGACTATGGACTAGTCTATTGAAATTTTTCTTTAAAAAAGGTTTGAAACTGGGAATGAAATGGTTATTATTTTATATTTTTTTCGTTTTACTTTTAGAACCGCGTCGCCATCAATTAGTCAAACAGGATTCGGTCATATCGTTTGCCGATCAACGACGTAGTTTATTAAATAAACAAGACTCTATTGTGGGATGCTCCAGCCGGTCTGGAGATGGCGCTGCTGGTCATCATGTATCGATCTTAAAGAAAACCGATTCACAATTAAGTAGCGGTAGTTTCACATCACCACGTCGTAATATTGAAATTTACGAATAAATTTAACGAGTGTTATTTGGGGATTTTTCGTAATTTCAAAACATTTGACATAAATTGAAAAGAAAAATACTTAAAAACAAAAAAAGCACACAGTTATGAGCACACATATCCTTAAAAACAGTCAGGCAATGAAAAAAAAAACAAAAATTAAATTAAATATAAAATAAACTAAGAAAAAAGTTATTAAAGAATAAATTAAAGGAGGGCAGCGAAAGGATACAACAAACAAAATAAAGGAAAGTAACAAAACAATCAAATTGTAAGTTCTTTTTAAAAAATTTTGTTTAAAAATTAAGTAATATTATTAATAATTAATAACAAAAAAAAAAAAACAAAATAAATCGTTACAACGTCTACTCCTTTCAAATACAGTGATATATTGATTGATTTTTTTTTTTTAATTTTGTTTCAGTTTTTTTTTTAATTTTTACGTTTTTAATTTATTTTATATATTTTTCCACAATGAAAAAGGAAACTTAGAAAACAATTATTACAAAAAAATATAAAAATTAAATAATAATATTAATAAAACATACTCGTACATATAAATAAAAAAATACATATTAATGTTAACTGTTTGCTAGAATTTTATTATTTATTTTATACCGAAAATAATACAATTAAGTAAAACATAACTAAAACAAAAAAATATTTATAAAAAACAGAAAAACTGAAAAGCTTTTTATATATTTAAAAGAAAGTGTTTAGATTAACTAGAACAACTACTAGAAAAAAGGTTTTAAAACAGGCGCCAGAGACCAAAACAAATACAAAATGGTAGAAAATTATTTAAAAAATTTACTTCAAACCGAAAGTAAATTTCCAAAGGGTTTTATAACTAACGAACAGAAAAGGGGTCCAGGAAGGCGCTAACAGTCCAGCTAAGACGGTAGAATACTAAAGTTTTTATTAGGGAAATGGGCAAGAGTTTTGTAAGGAAATGAAATTGTTTATTTAACACCGTTTCTAAACAACAAATTAAATAGAATTAAACATTAATAAAAAAAGTACCTTTACTAAAATGACAAAAACAACAAACAAACCAAGAAAATTTAACAAAAATATATAATAAATTAATTACATATTAAATATAACCAAACACATTTTTGTATTGTAATATTTCTAACAATTTATATACCATACAATTTGTATTGATTTTTTTAATAACAAAGCAATAATTCTACTTATATATACTTGATATAAATGAAAATTATTATTATTATTATTATATATATAAACAACAAATTATTTATAATACAAAATAGAAGAAGAAAAAAGATATATATTAAAAAAGAAGAAAACAAAAACAAAAAACTAAATTTTATAAACAAAAACATACAACAGCCTAAACTAAAATAAAACTAAAACAAAAAAATATAAACAAACTTTCTTCTAGTTTTTACCCCAGTTGACAATTATCATCTTAAAGTTTTATTTTCAATTCCCAAAATGTTCTCATCATTTCCGTTTCTTTATATTTCCGCTGAGTTTGACAAAGCATGAACAGACAGTGTTGCCACAACTTTTTCCATAATATAAACAAACAATAAAACGTAAATAATAGAACAAGGTTGTGACAGAAATGTGTAGGTTTTCTGCAATAACATTTAAATTTCCGAAAAAATTCAGTTTTTCGAAAGTAAAAATAAAAATATTGATTGAAATTTTTATATAGAAATATTTCATAATTTTTTCTTTAGAAAATCAGTTTAGAATGAAGCAACTTTTTCTTTAGAAAATATTTTAGAGTTGCAGCTACTTTTTATTCAGAAAAGTTGTTGGAACTGCTGCCACTTTTTCAGTAAAACAATTGTTGACATTGCAGCAACTCTTTCTATAGAAAAGTTGTTGAAATTGAAACAACTTTTTTCATAGAAAAATTGTGACAGTTGCAGTAACTTTTTTATTAAAAAAATTGTGGAAATTGCAACAACTTTTACTATAGAATAATTGTGCCAATGGCAGCAACTATCTATAGAAAAATTGTAGTAATTGCAGCAACTATTTCTATACAACAGCAACTTATTCTTTAGGCAAATTAAAGCAATTGTAGTTACCTTTTCTATAGAAAAATTTTGATAATTGCAGAAACATTTTCTATAGAATAATTTTTATAATTGCAGCAACTTTTCCTATAGAAAAACTGTAACAATTACAACAAAATTTTCTATAGAAAATTTGTAACAGTTGCAGCAACTTTTTCTATAGAAAACTTGTGTAAATTGCAGCAAATTTTCTATAGAGAAATTTAAAACATTCTTAGTGAACAAATTAGGAAAATTTTATGAAATTTTTAAACTTTTTGCAGTAAATTTTGTATGAATTTCTGGAATTATAGTAAGTTCTTCTTAGAGTTTTTATTAAATTTATAAAATATGTATGTCAACTCTGGTAAATTTTTTGAAATAGATTTAAAACAGCCATCAACATTTTATAAGAAAATAAGAATTTAAAGAAAATATCTAAATATTGGTTTTGGAATGATTTTTGTTAAAAATGAAAAATAATAATAGGAATAGTCTGGTAAAGAAAATAATAGAAAAAGACATTTTTATACGGTAAATTTAAACAGCTGTTAAACAATAAACTTTTACTTAAACTTAGATTAAGTACTGTATAACATTTAAAAATGTCATAATATAACAAAAACAGTACTTAATTTAGGTATTAAAACTAAAGTTTGAACAGATAAAAATAAAAACAAAACTTTTCAAAATTATTTTTTATACTAAATTAAATTTAATTAAAAAAATATATATTAAACAAAAAATATATATAGAAAACATAACATACATAAAATTATACTAATTTAATTAATTAAAAGTAAAAAGAAAGAAAAATTAGACAACTACAGGCAAACATTGCCTTCAAAAATTAAGCTAAACACCAAGTTTAAAAAAGCATAATAAATTAACCCTGGTAGGCCTATTTTTTGAGCACAGTGTAGGCTTGTTGCAACAACAAAAAAAAAAAAAGAATTTGTATACCCTAACACTTTAAACAATAAATAACTAATCAAATAAAATAACAACAAAGTAAACATTACATACATATTATTAAAATTAAATTTAAATAAATGAAAAGCACAAAAAAACCATACGATTAAAGTAGTTTTGTAATTATTTTTTAATATGAAAATTTCTATATAAAAATATTATGAAATAAAGAAAATATACTATATTTTGTTTACCATTAAGAAAGGGCATAAATAATTATAAATTATTAGTTTATTATTATAAAAAAAAAAGAAAATAAAGTATTAAACTTAAAAGAAAAACTAAATAAAGTTCTAAATAAACTCCACGAGTTATAATTAAACGAGCTTAAAGCTCTTTTAAAATAAAAGCTTAAACTATAAACAAATAACACTACAATGAAATGAAGCCCTCTTTAAAACAAAAATATGTCAAACATAAAATTATAGTAAAAAAAAACATTAAAATTGTTTTTAATTTTCACTAAACATACATACATATATTTAAATGTAGAATTTATATAAATATATTAGAAATAAAAAAAACATATAAAATATAGATTGCCTCCTAACAAACTTTTAAAAATTTAATAAAAATGTAAGTAAAAAAAAACTGTCAAGAGGTCTCTACTTGACATAACATATCTGAAGAAAAATATCTTTGAAATTTTTTCAAAATCAAACAATTCGTTTGTGAATGATAAAAGTATTGAAATTCTTTTCAAGTATTTAAAAAAACTGATCGTTTTTCATAAAAGTTATTAAATTATTTCAAATCTTTTAAACTAAATTTTCGATACCCTTTCTTTCCCTAACAATTTATATTGTTTCAAAACTCCGTTTGCTATTTTTCTATCAAATCTGAGGCATTCTATCTAATCAACACGCATATAAAAAAATGAGTTAAATTAATATTAAACATAATTACAAATAAAAACCCCAAAAAATATATGAAAATTTTGAATAGTTATTTATATACATAAATATATATGAATATACGTACATATATGCAAATTCCCGTTAAGCCACTAATTAATAAACAAACAAAAATAAATTTTTAAGAATTTATTTCAAAAATAAATATTAAAACCGAAAACTGCTTCAAACCATACAATTGCCACTAAATATAGAAAAAGCCACTTAAAAAAATACTACAAAATAAAACTATATTTAGCAAAAAATAAATATATAAACATATACATACATAACAACATATATTTATTGTTTTAATTAAAATAAATAAATTTATATAAAAATAAACTATAAATTAACAAAATTACCAGCAAACAAACAAAGCATAATCATAAATGTTTTTTTGAAAACGATACCAAAGAATAAAATAAAAAAAATACATTGCAACTACAACAACAAAAATACAATTTAAAATAATAATACTATATACCTAAAAAAACAATAAAAATAACAACAAATTAAATCAGTAACATAAAGAAATGAACAAACAAAACAAATAATTGATTAATTATTGTTGAAAATAAAGAATAAACAACAATAAAAAAAAAACAATTGACACATGTGTTTTTCTTGATTTATTTTGATAATGTTTATAAAGGCAATACAGGACGTATGATTGATAAAAACAAACATAAGTGACATTTATAATGGCGGATGTCAATTAATTTAGCAGTAAAAATAAAAGTGAGTACATATGTAAGTATGTTTGTCAGAAATTAATGAGAGTGCATATGTTGTTTTATGGCAAGTTGTTTTGTTTGGTTTATTCTTCTTTTTATACATTCCATCAAATCTAATTGTTTGGCACTTAATCGTTATGGCGGTGTTAATTAGCTTTAATAAAAATAAACAGAAATATAAAAAATTGTAACATCTTTCTGTTAAAGTCATTTATAAACCCATACTTTGGCTTGTAATATCTTTATCTGTTCAATTTTAAATTTGTCTTTACGAAAAATATTAGATTATCCCCCATTATCTGAGTGTTTCCATACAAAAATTATCTCCCGGTTAAACAATAACTGGAGATTTAAATAGCGGGCCTATGACTTTAAAAGCTTTTTTTTTTGTAAATTATATTTTATATACAAATAGCAAAGCTCCTAAAACAGGGAAAATGTGTTGCAAAAAAGGAACAGATCGGAACTTGGGTTTTAGTTTTGACGCTTTTAACAAAATATCACTCGCACACTGAATATAATAGACATTGTTGAAAATAGACAAAACTATATGAAAGACTTTGGTATAGTAAATGTATGTATTAAAGTGAATTTTTGAAATTTTAGAAATTTTGGATATTGCTATGAGGGGCTATTTATGTCCTTTTAATTTTTATAGACACAATTCTGCAAGTAGAGCTGATATTTTATAAAGTTTTTGCCGTACTAATTCTTTAAAAGTTGCAATTAATATTATAAATTATATATGTAAATATTACAACATTTGATTAGGCAAATTTTTATATTTCTTTTATTGTTGAAAAATTAAACATATGAAATTAACAAAAAAGTAAATTTATACATAATTTCGGGTAAATTACGTTTACGTAACGATCAGCAGACACGTTTTGTTACGGGTACGGTACATTACGGTTGGGTATTTCTATCTTTATTCGACGTACATTCATTTGTTAAGCCGGCGTGAAACCGATTAGTCGCCGACGCCGTTAACTTTTACAATTTCAGCCGCCGCCGAAAAAATTGATTGCAGCCAGTCAGTCAGTCGAGTGTGTGTGTGTTTTCTTAATTTCCCTACAATAATATTAAATTTTTTGGTTTAGAAATTGCAAGATATTTCAATAAAATTCGAGATAAAAATTAGTTTACACATAACAAAATACTTAAAAACAAAAATTTAATAAAACGTGCTTAAAGAGAAAAAATAAATACGTAGAACGAAGGTGCTTTTCCTTGTGACGACATTGACACATAATTATTATTAATCATACATCAAACGAGAAAGATTGTTGTTATTGCTATTGTTGTTCCTAATTCAATTACAAAAAAACACTAATGTGGAGCAGCTAAAATATTTTTTGAAAAACAAAATTAAAAAGAGGAAGATTATTTTAAAAGAAATAATAAAGAAAATATCAAAGAGTGACCATCCATATTAAAAATAACAAAATAATAATTATTTCGTCATTGCTATTTTCGTCAATTGAACATAAAAAAAATAACAAAAACACAACAGCAAAACAACAATAAAAACACATTGAGAGTTTAAAAGACTGAGAAAGAAGAGAACTGAGTAGGATTGTGATTACGTGCTCTGGCCTGAAGAAGAATAATTATTGTAACAACACAAGAAATTATTATTTAATAAAATCATATTAAAAGCAAAACAATTTACAATATTACATCAAAACAAAGTTTGCTAGTAACCGCATAACAATCCATTCAACCATGGCCCAGGCAACAGCAACAACTACAGCTGCCACCACCAACACTGCTGAGGAGGTGTCATCATCACCATTGGCTGGTTTCGATATGGATGATATAAAACATTGTTTTGAAAATCTAATTGTTATCGATGCAGGCGCAAATCTTACTAATAAGAAATATAGTCGTGACCTGGACTCGGTGATACAAAGAGCAAAAGATGCCGGTAAGTGAATTGTGAAAGAATAAAGTATGATAGTATAGGAATTTTCCATTTAGAATTTGATGCAAATGTATAGGAAATTAAAAAGATCAGTGATGACAAGTACTTTATTGGGATTTATGGTAATTTTATTTTAATTGGGGAGATCATTTTTAGAAAAGTTTGAAATTATCATTGATAGGTTTTTTAGAGAATTGAAATAACTGTTGTACCTATTATCTGGAGATAATCGAAACTTATTTCAGTCAGAAACAAAACTTAAAATTAGGTTTAATCGTTAAAATATTAATGAATTGCAATTGTCTCTAGGTTTTATCTCTACTCTTTCAAAACTTCTGGAATGTATTTCCTGTTTCAATTTAATAAGACATGGAAAGTAGAAATTTTGAAACAACTTTTTCAAAAAGGGTATTTTTTTTTACTAGAATTGAAAGTACTAAATTACTTTTCTGCTTTTATTATTTATTGGCTGATCAACAGATATTGACCAGTCTATATGTTAGTATTTGAACTATCCTATTGACTGATCTAATGACTAATCTATGGATTAGACTATTGTTCAGTCTATAGATTAGTCTACTAACATTCACATGTTTTAGTCTCTTGGCTAATATATTGACTAGCCTGTGATTTAGTCTATTTAGTAATTAGTTGACATGTCTATGACCTAAGATTATGGATAGTCTATTGATATATTGGCTAGTCTATAGACTTTCCTATGAGGAAGCCTATTAGCTAATCTTTTAACTAGTCTGTTGATTAGTCTATTAGCTAATTTATTGCCCATTCTAATATTTCGAAACGTCTATAGATCTATTTACAATTCTATAAGTCCACTGAATAGAATATGAAATAATATATTATCTGGTCTATGGGCTAGACTCTACAGCAAACCTTTGAGCATTATTTGGACTGATCTATTGATTAGTTTACAATCTTAAACTCAAAAGATAATAAACACTTTTTCTCCTTCCTAAATCAAAAATTATTTATAAATAAATTTCTATTATAGGTAAAAGTCGGAAAAATTTGTTTACAAATGTTCAGTAAATGTTATTAGTTTCTATTGCATTATTACAAAACATTTTTAAAGTATATACTTTTTAAGTGCCGTTATAATTAACAATATTACAAATTGTTTATAAAAATAGGTTCCAGTTGGTTGAGTTAAATGAGTCAAATCAAGTGTATCACAACTTAACTTTCAAATAACAATTCATTCTAATCAGAAATAAAACTATTAGAAGCCATATCTAGTCACTCTTTAAATATTATTAATAAACTATATAAACACTTTTAAGTATTTGTATTTAAACAAAGTAAATGTACAGTAAACTACAAAAGATCTATAGATATAAAATCCCTTTTTAATAAAGTACTTTAAAGAGAAAAAGTACTTTTATTTTCAATGTCATTGTAAACATCTCCAATAAACATACATAAAACTTAAAATATAGAAGAACAACATGAGCCGTGAAACATCTTTAATAAGCATTTTGTCTTTTAGGGCGTCGTCTTGAGTGAGTATGTGGGCGATGATGTGACCTCTTGTGTATGCGTCTGTTTATTTGTTGATCTAACTATCTGTTCATTTCTTTGTTCACATGTAGATTATTTAAATCATTTAACAGACAATTTTATAGACCGGGAATAAAAATGATAAAAATTTATGTTTTTATTTATTGTTTACATTTGTTATTGTTTATTTTTTAAATAGTTTCTTGTTACAAATTAGTTTTGTTTAATATATTTAAACTTTTCGTTTTTTTTACCACACACGGCAGGTGTCCAAAAACTTATGGTACCCGGTACTTCTGTAAAATCAAGCAAGGAAGCCCTTCGTCTCTCCCGCATTTATCCCGATTTTATTTACTCGACTGCTGGCATACATCCACACGATTCTAAATCAATCATCGAAGATCCTAGTAGTTGGTTTGAATTTCAAGAAATTGCCGCCTCCCAAGAGTGCGTAGCAATTGGTCCCTGTGGCTTGGATTATCAGAGAGATTTCTCTGATCCCGAAAGTCAAAAGGAAATATTTGAAAAACAACTACTATTGGCTTGTAATTTGGGCAAATCGATTTTGATACACGAACGTTCAGCCCAACAAGATGTACTCGATATATTAGACAAGTATGTATTTTCATTTTGTTGTATATACATACATATGTATAAAAAGAAATGTTTGTTATTAATGTGTTTGTTTTTAGATTCGAGAACTTGCCACCGGTGATTATTAGAAGTTTTATGGGCACTGCTGAGGAAGCCATTAAATATTTGGACAGAAGGTTCTATATTAGTTTAACTGGTTATTTATGTAAGGTAAGTTGCAAATAATTAATCATATTTTAGTAATTTTATAACAACCTTGAAACTTTTGTTATTTTGAAAAAATTTGAGTTTTTTAACAAACTTTTTCACTTTCATTTCACTCACATTTCTCTGAAATCTACTCATAAACTAAACTATAAAACTGAATTGAAAATCTTAACTTCTAGGACAAATCAGATACCGGCGTACGACGTCTACTCGACAATGGAACCTTACCTTTAGATCGTTTATTGGTTGAAACCGATTCACCTTTCATGTATCCCAATACCAGAGCTTCAAAGCTACCACAACACGTTAAGACTGGCATCACAGAACGTTCTCTATTGTACTTACACAGGTTAGTAAATAAATAAACGTTTTATGTATACAACAATTTGTAAAATTCCTCTTTTCCCCCCTTCCTTTAGATATTGTACATTTCAACGTAATGAACCCTGTAGTTTACCCGCCATTGTGGAAATGATAGCTGCCTTTATGAAAAAGACCCCAGATGAAGTAGCTCTGGCTACGGCTTTCAATGCTTTAAAACTTTTTGGTCTTTCTTAAATTACTTTATAAGGCAGCATTTGAAGTTCAAGAAAGTGGTGATGTAAAGAAGGTGATGCTAAGTTTTTTTTATACTTTATTTTCTTTTTAAATAAGTGCCAAAAACACACACACATTTATAACGACAACAACAACTTTTACACTAATTAACACTATTATGAAATGTTTTTTGTTTTTTGAAATTGCTTAGCAAAATTGTAAAAAAAAACAAAACGCAATACGATTTAAAATCTTTAAAAAAGAAAAAAAAACAGACAAAAAAATCGAGACTAAACAAGTGCCTTAAGAGAAACAGTGAAATCAAACATAAAAATTATAATATAATAATAAAACAACTACCACTTTTTACAAAAAACAAATGAAATTTTAAACTTTAAGTTTGAACTTCAAAAAAAAAAAAAAGAAAAAGAAAAATGAAACGACGTCTTATTAAATATATATAAAAATAATAATATAATACAGCAACTACTACCACTTTTTACAAAAAACAAATGAAATTTTAAACTTTAAGTTTGAACTTCAAAAAAAAAGAAAAATGAAACGACGTCTTATTAAAGTGTGAACAAAGAAAGTTTTTATCTTTTTAAGACGATAATTATTTAATTTTTAAGTGCTTTAACTGAAAAAACAAAACAAACAATAAATTTATCAATTAACAGCAATGAGTTTTTAAAAGTGAATAAATACCTAAAGAATTTTTGCTTTTAATTGATAAACAAAACTGAAATTTTGTTTGGGTACATTTTTCATGTCATTGAGGAATCGTATTTTGGGGAGGATTTTTATATAAAACAAAAAGATACACAAATTTCAAGAGCAGCTAATATAGAACAATAATTTAATTTACTTTTCTTAAAAGAAAGAAATGGAGGATAATGTTTACTTGAGAATGCAATGTAATTAAAGTGAAAGAAACTTGTTTGAAAATCATCAATGAATATTTTGAATAATCTGATTTTTTTTTAATACAAATTTTGAACTGTTGATATATTAATCAATAAATTAAGATTTGTTTATTCAAAGTTTAACATTAACAGCAAATATAACTGTCAAAAAGAAAACTCCAAACATGTTTCCCCCCCTAACAATGGGCTCTTCTCTCCTCTTCTCAATGCCTTGAAAATGTACCCAACATTAACAATTTCAATAAAAAATAATCGAATTTCTTTTTTATTTTAAAATATTTATACATTTAAGTTAGTTTAATTTAGTTTAGCAAAACATGTTTTAAAAGTTATACTATACCATGGTAAACAGGTCTTGTCTTTAAAACTCAACCATGGCATGGTATATTTTTAAAACACCAACTATCGCTAACGAAAGCGTTTGCTTTATTGTATGCTAATTAGCATAAAAAATCAAACAATATTTACTATTGTTTAACAAACAGTGCTGCAGCTTGTTTTAATATTTCTTTAGCCTCTTTTTTTACATTTTATAAATAACTTTTAAATATAAAAGATTTTATAAACTATTTTTTTATATATTTATGATGCCAATTTCATTTATACACTATTATTTTTTTATATAAACAATTATTTATGTAAATAGTTTAATACAGTTTTTAAGTTTCATTAAACATTTTTTAGTTTTTACTATTTTTTATATTCATTTATTGTTATTATTGTGTTCTATATTAGTCGGAGTTTAATAAAATAATTAAGAGCTTATACTAACCGTTATGTAATCATTATATTGAAAAAAAAAGTAAACAAAAAAATATGTCTAGTGCTATAAATGAAAACAAACATATATTTTTTTATATATTAAAGAAAAGTGAAACTAAACTTGAAGAGTTATTGCTTAAACTACATTATTTTAGTTTTATAAGTTACTCATTGATATCATGCCGCATGATTGATATGCAAATTGTGATCATTACCTAAAGAAAAAACTGAAATTAAAAAAAAAAAAAAAAAAACAAATAATGCTATTTATTTTTTTTTCTTTTAAGACTTTCTTCATTTTATACCTGCACATTATTTTAGTTCACTCATTTTTCATTTGCATACCCCTCCCTCTCCTACTCAACCACTAATAAATAAACCTTATTATAAAGTAGTTTGTAATAAATACAGAAATTATAATATTTTTTATATTTATATTTAATTTTTTTGTTTGTTATATATTTTATATTTATTAAGTCATATACCTAATCTTTCATATACATATATAAATTATTTTCAATCGGAAATTATCATTTCTGTTTTGAATTTAATTTAGAAAAAAGTCTTCTTGAATTGTGTTAACTATAAAGAACCATGTAATGTAAATTTAAGGACTTTGTTACTGTGAATGAAAAATTTTGAAATAAAACATTGTGTCCTTATGGAAAAATTTATTTAAATGTGTTTTTTTATAAAGTTTTTTTTTTATATTAATAAACAAAACGAAAAATGTTATTTCTATTCGATAAAGTGTTCTAATGGCGGCACATTCAAAATGGCCGTACATTTCAAACCTCTTAAACTTTTAGTGAAAATTCGAAATTTTTTTAAAACTTCGAATTTTTAGTAAAATTTTACTGAAAACACCAAATTTTACTGAAACTATTATAAAATAATTTTTTAGTGAATATTCCACATTTTATGCAAAGTTAAATTTTGAAAAAAAAAAATTTTGACAAAAATAACTTTTTATGTGGGAAATTTTCTTTTTAGTGAAAATTCAAAATTTTGTGAAAGTTTGAATTTTTGGCGAAATTTAGATTTTTAGTGAAATTTATAATTTTTAGAAAATTTTTGAACTTTTAGTGAAAATTAGTGTTTTTAGTAAAAATTACAAATTCTACTAAAAGTACAAATTTTGAAGACTCCAATTTTAGTGAAATTTTGAAAATTTTTTGAATTTATTAAACAGATAATGGGCAATAATTAATATGGAAATAAAATAAATTAAATTTTAAAAAGTTTAAATATTTACTGAAATTTGGATTATTATTGAAAATTTAAATTTCAATATTCATTTCAGTTATTTTGTTAATTTTAAATATTTATAAGTAATTAAAATTTTTGGAATTTTTAATTTCGATTTGTATATTTTCCACATTTTATTAAAATTTCGAATTTTCCCAAAAATATACTGTATTAGTAAAATTTTAAAATTTAAGTAAAATTTCGAATTTTTGGAAACATTTTGAACTACTAGTTAAATTTTGATTATTTGCTAAAAATAAGACTTTTTTTCAAAATTGAAATTTTTTCCAAAAATTCGAGATTTTTTTGAAAACTATTATAAAAATTTGAATTTTACTAAATGTTTTTGTGAAAAATTGAGAATTTAGTGAATATTTTATTTAAAAAAATAAGGCAAAAATTCAAGTTATTATAGAAAAAAAATTTTTATTGAAAATTCCATTTTTAGTTAAGATAGTTAAATATCAGTAAATATTTTGAATTCCATATCGAGGAGAAAAGTATGTATATACATACTTTAGAAAACAACAGAAAAGTAATTTTACCAAAAACGCATAACATTACATAAATCACTTTTTTAATAAAGTAGGATTGTAATTTAGGCAATAAGGAATTCCTTCGAACAGTTGCTATTCCAATCAAATATACCGTATTTTGTTTTTTCCAAAAGTTTACTAAAAAGAATGTTTGTTCGGTCATTATTCTATCTAAATTTATTTTAGATACTTAAGTAATGAAATCCTTCCGTTATATTATTTGAAGACAGTACCTCCGAGACACTAAAGTGCTGAATACTCTCCACACTATAAAATAACTCAGTCAAAATATACCGCTTTAAGTTAACCTTGTAAAAATAAAAAAAAAAAACACAAATATTTTCAAATATCTATACGAAATATGCAAATCGTTTATTGTTTATTTGTTCGTCTTGTTAAAATTTAATAAGTTCGCCACACAAAAAAAAGCTATACAAAATAAAACTAAAACTCTACGTACATACATATATACTTAACAATAAATATAACAAGAGATTTTCCCCATTTGTTTATAGAAAACGTTGTATTTCATTGTGCTGTTCGAATTTTTTCAATTGATGCAAATTATCCCACCAGAGTTTTAAACGATTCTTTAGAATCAACTCAAACCACGGAGTCAAAGGTGCATCAAATGTTTTTATCTCATCATCAATATGCTGACGTTTTATATAACGTACTTCGCTGACTTCATTCAAATTTGGTTTCAAATCAACATCTTTTTGTAAGAAAAGAATATAATCAATCTCATGTTCACCCCAAGTACCGTCTCCTGTATTGGCATAATGTATCCTAGTTAAATAATGAAAATATTCAGGTCTTATTTGATTTGTGGGTATGCCCAGTTCATAGTTAAGGCGTCGTTGGGCAGCTTTGCGTATACCAAATGCATTGAGTTCCTCACGCTCGACCTCAATTTCATGCAGAGGATGACTGCAGCAGGCATTTGTATAGGTGTCGGGGAATGTGATCTATACAAAAGTATTGCTGTGTAATTAATAGCTTTGGACAAAGAGTTAAAATGTTGCTTACCTTGTGTTCAGATCTTCTTTGGACTAACATTTCTCCTTTGGTATTGAATAGAAAGACAGAAAAAGCTCGGTGTAATTTCACCTCTTTGGTCTCAGCATGTACACGATGGCAATCTGCTTTTGTGGTAAAACCAATGGCTTTGTCATGTTCATCCACTAGTATACATTGTTCTTTCAGGGCTTGCTCCTGCAAGGCGTCATATTGTTTGTGAACATTTTCGGTTTTCTTGGCGGTTGCAGAGGCCACACATGTCCGTATGAGTGGTTTATTTATATGTTGGCAGAGGTTTTTGGTTAGTGCTGTTATCATTTTGTTCCGTTTGTGTTTATCTCTTGGAAGTCAAAAAGAAATCTGGCCAAGACAAAACACACTATTATTGTTTGATTATTTTGCTTTGCTCCAAAGTGATATTGACAAAGTGGCAGCATCTGAGAGAAATCAGCTTAATGTCAATTTTTTTTATATTGAGTTTGACAGTAAACTATTTCTAATATGTGTATAAAAAACCTATAAAAAATTATCAGCTGTGCATTCGCATTTTTCTTGTATAAAGTTATCTTTTTGACATTACTATTCGGTACCCAGTAACGATAAACACAAATACCTTAATAATCAATACCGACGTTTTTGAATCAGTGCTTTTTTGTATATAAAAAAGTAAACTCTTTTTGTCTCGATAATTATTATTTGTTAAAATGTTATAATTTTTAAATAAATATTAAAAAAATCCTTCCCACTCTAAATAAATACAAAGAGAAATTTTAAAACATTACCTCGATTTTTCTCCATGTATTTTTATACTCCCCACTTTAACAACTTTGCCTTAGTAAAAGTAATCATACTAACATTTTTAGCAACTCTGCGTGAGTATTAGAAAAAAGATTTTTTTTATCAATTTTGCAGTGAGAGACTTGCGCCGATTCGGCTTAAGCCGACTAAGCCTAGCCGCCGAACAAAATGTCAAAGCCGCCGCCGCCGAAAATTTTTCAGCTTAATACGGCTTGAAAATTTCGCCATATTTTGTACAATTTACAGAATACTTTCGCTAAATTTGTGGAATTTTACAATATAAAATTAATTTGTTTTCATTTAAGCAAGTTTTCTTTTATCTAATAATAAGCCGCTCATTGAAATTTGGCCGGTGTAGAACTTTGCTCAACGTTCGATGTACATGCTTCGCCTCAGATATTTTCGTGTTTTCGCGCCTAATTCGAGTCGCTGCTTTGACTTCAAACCAGCTTCGTTGACGTCAACGGAGCTACACCTTTTTACATTGCTGGTATGTCATACCGTAAAGGGCTAGGGTATCGAACATGTGTATTTCAAATGGGAAGTGCAGTTGATGTCAATTCTGCCGACTGCGAAAAGAAATTCTGCTAGAATTTTTCGCGCCAAGCTGTTTTCTGCATTTTTTATTTGCCACAAAAAATCTGTTGTTGTGTGTGTGCGAAAATCTAAAATGACAGAAATGATATTCTTTAAATAAAAAAATAATTTTTTACTAAAAATTAAAATTAATAAGATTGTATGCTATACTACTATACCGAGGGTCATTGTACAAAGAAACAGCAAGTGTTGGGTTGAATTTAGTTAAATTGTTAATAATTATATGGGTTTGTTTTCGTTTAATACCCAAAAGTGTTTATCGAAATCTATATTTGGCATATTTGTGAGATCTAGAAGATTAAAAAATGTATGTAATGGTGTTAATTAATTATTTATTTATCTATAAAGAACGTCTTTCTTTTCAAGAAAGAGGAGGCATCATGATGGTCTCCTGGAAGAATGCCCACAAGAGAGTGGCAATTGTATACCTCCCTAGTAGCCTAGGTGGGTGGTGGTCGGTCGGCTAGTGGTGGCATGGTATATTATCACCTAGAGGCAATGGAAGGAAGCTGATTGTCGTATTCAGGGGGTATCCTTGAGATACATACTTATTATTATACCATTGATCTTAGCAGAATCACTACCATACACACATAATAGAGCGCGATGTCTGTCAGGTGTGCCTTTCAGTGAAGCTCTTGTTGTCTCCAAACACTATGGTGGCCGAATATTTACAAGAAACAATTGTTAAGCCGTCTTTTATACAAATTTATAGCTTTGTAGAGAATGTCTTCACGGACCTAGAGGATAGAACCTGGCTAGGTATGTAGATGTTGTTTGGGCAAAATATTGGTACTAACCATTGTGGGCTTTAAGTCGACTTTAGATCCCTTATAGTTGTCACACTATACCAAATAAGCATTCTTGCTGGAATTAAAGTTTAAAACAAGTTTAATTCCAGTCAAACATTCAAATTTCAAGTGTTGAAATTCACTTTCATTACACTTTAATTCAATAGAATTCTCCAGTGAAAACGAAACTTGAATTCAAGTCGAACATTAGAATCTTTTTACAGTATAATTCAATGCACGAAATCTATATATGTACATACATACGTACATATATAAAATTCTAACGTTACTGACTGACTGATTCATCATCGCACAGCCTAAACGGTTTTAGCTAAAGAGCTGAAATTTGGACAGGAGGTTGGTCTCCCACCAAATAGATCCACTAAGACGGGATTTTTGGAAATGATTAGGGGGTTAAAAAAGGTAAAAACGGGTAAATTCGGTAACCTCGTATCTCCTAAACTATAAAAGATACAAAAACAGTTTAAAGCTTATCGTCATTCATTTAAAAAATAAGCGGACAGGTGTCTGGTACTTTTTTCAAATTCGGCTCCTTTGGGGAATAAACGGGTAGAAACTGTAATTTGGTACTTCTTTTGCACCCCATGTATCTTTTAAACCAGAGAACATTCAAAAAAATATTTTTGAATCCTTCATAACTTGACGAACAAATAAAAATATGAATTTAGTACTTTTTGGATATTCGGACGTTTAAGGGGTGAAAATTGTACCTATTTTTGGTACTTTTTTATAAAACATTGTTTTTGGTTTATTAACTTATATATGAATACAAAATAACGGGCTCCCAATACGATGTTGCAACTGGTACTTTTTTGACTTAGAACTTAGAAACATGTAATTAAGCACTTGAGAATCTATAAAAGTGGACTTTTTGGTACTTTTTCGTTCTTCAAAAGGTACTTTCTGAGTTTTCTATTAAATTGAACATAGAAACATGAAATTATGCACGTAGAGCCTGGAGTAAATGAGAATCTATAAAATGGCACTTTTTGGTATTTTTTCGTTCTTTGACTGGTACTTTTTGAGCTTGCTACAAAATTTGAACCTCGAAACATGAAATTAAGCACTTAGAGCCTGGAGTAAATGAGAATCTATAAAATGGGAACTTTATCGTACTTCGACTGGTACTTTTTGAGTTTTCCATAAAATTAAACCTAGAAACATGAAAATAAATATGTAGAGCCCGGAGTAAATTATAATTTATAAAAAGGGACTTTTTAGTACTTTTTCGTTCTTCGACTGGTACTTTTTTAATTTTTTATAATATTGAACCTAGAAAAATGAAATTAAGAATGTACAGCCCGGATTAAGTTATAACATTTAAAAGGGGACTTTTTGGTACTTTTTCGTTCTTCGACTGGTACTTTTTGAATTTTTTATAATATTGAACCTAGAAACATGAAATTAGGAATGTACAGCCCGGATTAAGTGATAACATATAAAAGTGGACTTTTTGGAACTTTTTCGTTTTTCAACTGGTTCTATTTGAATTTTCTATTATAATGAACCTAAAAACATAAAACTAAGCAATCAGGGACTTGAGTGAATGAAAATTTAAACTGGAGTATTTCTGGTAATTTTTCGTTCTTTAACTGGTACTTTTTGAATTTTCTAAAATATTGAATATATAAACATAAAATTAAACACGCAGTATCCTAATTGAACGAAAATTTATCTCGCTTACGTCCATTTTGCAAAAAGAGCTCGATATCAATCGATATTTCTATAGGCCATAATTGACCCTGTCCCCTTCATTAATTGATTTTAACGTTTTTTACGTACTTAATAATACCATAATAAAACAATTTTTGTTGGAACGAAAATATGTATATGAAATCTTCTTGAGAAAATGACTTAAACACACATAAATGGATTTCAAATGTCGATGTCGACGAAAAAAACATTTTTAGGAACCGAAACCTACATTTATGAAAAATAAAGTTATGAGGATCGGTCCGCCAATATAACCCTCTTACAGAAAATCAGTTTATAGCTAATACATCATTCCAAAAGTTATCATTATGATAGAATTATGGTAGAATTAAAAAAAATACTTTAAATTATATATATTATTGATCCAATTCCACATTTAAGTCCCTAATCCGAAAATCACGGTGACGTTCTTATTAATCTAATGATCGGACCACTTCCGAAATTTTCTTTTTTACGACATATGATTTGCCGAATATAACTCTTACTTCTTACTTAATTTAATCATAAATTACCGCTAAAATAGGAATAGTCTGCCTTTAGAGTTGCGAGTTTTCGTACATTCTAATAATGTTTTCAAAGTGAAACTTTTGGAATATTTTTCAATCTCTTTGTGATTCCTTTAAATGATGTTGTTCTGGAAGAACTTTAACATCCATGTAAACATTTTGGGTAATAAATTGGGGGACTACCAATGAGGGGAGCGGAACCTCCCATATGAATTAAATACAAAAATTCGTTTATCTGGGAAACTAATATAACTAAATTCTTCAAATTTTGCACGAGCAACTTTAATATTCATCTGAACATTTTGGAGAAAAAAGGGCGGACTTTCATCTGGGGGGCTTGGAGCTCCCATATGAATTAAATAGAAAAATTCGTGTATCTGAGAAACTATTAGAGCTAGAATTTCAATTTTTACTGAAGAACATTTAGAGAATAACGGGCGGACTTTCAATGGGAGGCTTGGCACTTCCCATATGAATTAAATACAAAATTTTGTATATCTGGGGAACTATTAGATTATTCGAAATTGCAATAATTTGCGTGGAATCTCCCATATGTAACAAATTGTATATCTGGAAAACCATTGTAGTTAGAATCATCAAAGTCGTTAAGTGGGTTATATTGCTTTTAGGGTAGCACAGCACACTGGGTATAGCTAGTAAATAAACAAATAAAATATCTTTGTTTTTACATTATTGATCATTTTCTTAATGCAAAATTTTTTAGAAACTGATTTTCTACAATATGTTTTATATGGAAGATAGGGTTAAATATCGGCAGATCCTAGTAAAACTTGGATAAAGGATTTGTTTTTAATTTTTAAGAATTTTTTATTCATCCCTGCATAATTTCTCATGCAACTTTTGAGTTTGCTCTGTTTTGTTGTTATAAACAATATATTTGCTTCCAAAATCCTACTTTCTGATCTCTCGGATTCCATTTTTATTTAAAATCGTTGAAAAATTAAAAACTAAACGTAGTTGAAAAGTTAGCCGGCTTACAGTCGATTTTAAGCCGCCGCCGACATATTTAGTGTCAGTCGCCGCCGGCGTTAATATTTGTCGGCGCAGGGCTCTGTTTTGCAGTGAGAGAGCAAGAAAGTGTAGTGTAATTTTTTCCACAGTTCGAAAACAAAACAAATTTCCTGCTGAAAAATGGTAAAAATACGCCCTTTAAATATTATTTAATAGAATTTTATTAATAATATATCAATTTCACAATAGATACGCTTCATTTTAATACAAAATCGTGCAGGCAAGACCCGTTTGGCCAAATGGTATATGAATTTTGATGACGATGAAAAACAGAAATTAATCGAAGAGGTGCATGCAGTGGTGACTGTGAGGGATGCCAAACATACCAACTTTGTAGAGGTATTTTCACATAATTTAATCAAAACATCTTGGACTTTATTAAAAGAATTACAAATTATTTACAGTTCCGTAACTTTAAGATTGTTTATCGTCGTTATGCGGGTCTCTACTTTTGCATATGTGTGGATGTTAATGATAATAATCTCTGTTACTTGGAGGCCATACACAATTTCGTAGAAGTACTTAATGAGTATTTCCACAATGTATGTGAATTGGATTTGGTATTCAACTTCTATAAAGTGTACACCGTGGTCGATGAAATGTTTCTCGCCGGCGAGATACGTGAGACCTCACAAACCAAAGTTCTAAAACAACTACTGACCCTAAATTCTCTGGAGTAAAATGGTTATTTAGTATATGTGACGTAGTGGTCCATCATTCCATTGTGTGTATATGAGCGTGTCATTATATACCCTCTTGTTTACACTATTTTTCTTAAATTATACTCTTTAAAATAGGCCTCTATATAACGAATCTTGATTTCATTTGCTCGTTTCCCTCTTAAGTAAATCTCCTAAAAGCAATTTTTTACCAAATCCGTATTACAACAACTCTGCCGTTTTGTGTGCAGGATGATGTTAACGAAAGAATATGAACTAATGAAGCGAACAAGAAGAATTCTCCAAAAACAAACATAAAATAAAAAAATATCGTTCAAATATTTAAATATTAATATTGTTAACTTAATCAAATATATGTATTATGTATAAAAATTATAATCCTGTAAAATGATTTAAATAAATTTTAGGAAATAATCCTTGTTTGTTGTGGGGAATATTACAAATTATTGAAAACCCCTGTTTAGGTTTGCCATACTTTTTTTCAGAAAAAATGTATAGCCTAACTTCAAAGTTATTGATTTATCTTTAGTTAGTCACAATAATACATACGTAGTAAGAATAATAGCAGTTTGTGGAAAACATAAAATCTATTCACTAATAACAGGAAATTAAAATATTACAAATGAAAAAATGACTCATACAATAATTTACTAAAATGGAATAAATGAATTCCATTTATAAAAAATTTACTATAATTTTTGAATCGGCTTGAAATTTTAGATTTAAAAAATCATTCTCTAGAAATTAATTCAAAACTTTTAATCTATGGCATTATATTCAATGTAGTGATGTAATGATTCTTTATATATTGAAATACGTTTAATTTGAAAACAAATTCAGAAAAATATTCAGTTTAAAATATACTGAATGTTTCTGAATCATAAAATAAACAAATTGAATTAAATAAAATTAATTGAAACAGCCTTTTTGTCATTTAGAAGGAATTTACAAATTAATAGCAACATTTGAACAATTTAATTAATTCAATGCGAATAAAATTAAATTATTCCGAAGTAATTTAGCATTACATAAGAAATGATTCAATAACAACGAAAACTTTTAGAATTAATTCTCAGAAATTAGGGAAAGTATTTGAAGAAACTAATTAATGAATTAATTCTTTCAAAGCTTTGTTCTCTAGTCACAGATTTTATTCTGATCGAATGTGTATTTCCGTTGCATGCTTTATTCGAAAACAATTTCAGTTTCTTAAGTTATAATAAATATTTTTACCAAAAACTCAATTTTTATGAACAAAAAGTTGTAAATTTAGAAATAAAAATAAGTTTTTATATTTTTTGTTAAATTTAATTACTCTACGGAATCAGAAGAAGCAAAAGTAAACTTATTTGACTTTCAATTAAAAAACAAAATTAGAAAAAATCTAAATCAAAATCAATCAGAATAATAACCAGAAGATTTGAATGTTTCAAATGAGTGGCAAACATTTTAGAGTCCGACCTAGGGCCAATTATTAAAATCATATTTTACAATTTAACATATCGATCATTAAAATTGGCGAGAAAAAACAAGTTAATGTAGAGTTTCTAGAAAAAATTAATTAGAAATAATTTATACAGACGAATTTTGGAAGATATTAAATTGTTCATACCGATACTATCCGAATTATTTGAATTCTGAAATAAATAAAATGTTTATTTAAAAATTTTTCATTTTTAACATGCGTTATTAATCCTGCTATTATTTTGCTCTTTTATTTATAAAAAAAGTTATCGATTTGTTCTCTCTGACTACCGATTACTCTTACTCAACTGACTACTTTTTACTTAAACACCACTATTGACGGTGATGTGTAAGTCGTCGCCATCTTTTGTTGGAAAAAATTTGCTTTCGACAAAAAGTTAAAACTTTTTTTGATAATTACGTTTTAAATAAACTAGTAAAAAACAATAAAAATAATATTTTAATATTCAAAACGATTGTTTAACGTAAAAGCCTTTACAAATTCCTATAAATTTCCAAACGCAATATTAAATCAAATATATTATTGTCCACGTCAAACGGGTGACAAAAAAAAAACGAAGAAAGAAAGGGAAAAAATAGTGATTTGCAAGACTTGCAAAGAGAAGAAAGAAAAAAACGTAGAAAAATATTTTGTGCGAGAACTTTCAGATAAAAAAAGTTAATAAATTATTTAGCAAAAAGTTAATATTTAATAAAAATAACAATTAATTAAGCCAACTCTAAGGAAAGGAAAAAAACCAACAAACACAACAACAAAATGTCAGCTATAAATCCAGAATAGTAAGTTAAACATAAAGAAAAAATGGAAACGAAAATTTTTCATTGTTTTAGTCGGGCTAAAAAAAAAGAAATGAAAAAATAGGTATTTTGCGACGTCATTTTTTGTGATATTCATAGTGTTATTGTTGTTGTTGTAATATGCTGATTAAGTGTATGAACAACGAACGGCGACGGCCCACTCCCTTTTTTAGTACAGTGGACGTCCACTAGTACGAATTATATAGTGTCAGGCCCTTTCGTAATACCGAAATATTCGTATTATTGAACAACACATTTTGTATGTTTAAATTCAATTAATACACATAAAATATTGGATTTTATTTATTTTTGTTTTATTTTTCATGAAAATTTCTTGTACATAAACAGGCATAAAAGGGACATATTTACGTATATGAATTGTTAATTTTGAATTTGTCCAATGGTTGAAATGAGATATATGTAGAAGGTTTTAAATTTTAATGTTTTTAAAAAGATGTGTGCCAAAGACAATTTGCAATTTACATATGTGTTCTAAAATATATTAAAATGTTCAGATTACATAAAACTTTTATTAGAAACTTGAATGGAATATACCACAATTCTCTAATTTATAATTTTCTCTTAAAAATTAGAATAGTTATCCTTAAACCCATTGTTTGGAATGTGGAGTCACACTACTTTTAAAATTAACAGTTCATACATACATATGTATATAAATATCATGTTAGTTATTAAAAAATCCATCATTTAACATCGATGTTTATTACATTGTAAAATGGTTCTTACGGCTTTTTCAATAACAGCGCTTTTGAGGCTTCAATATTGTTCTCAGCAGAGTTATTGTCGGGAACTAATAAAATACTTTCCTCATTGGCGTTATCATCCAATTTAATTTCTTCTCTTGGGTCATCAAAATTCCAATAAAATAAATTAATAACACTAAATAATTGTTGATTTGTAAAAATATACATGCAGTAAATTGTGTAGGATTTTGTATAGGATTTTTAAAAATACAAAACACTTGTAATAAATACAAAAAAACTTCAAAATTACTGAGCTTAAGGTGAATGATACCGAAATAATAAAATAAAAACATAATAAAAACTTCATTCATACGTAAATAAAACCAAAATTCCCATAAAAAATGCGTTATTCGTACTATCGAACAGAAAAATTGTGACTTTATTCGTACTATAGAGTAGACAATGCAACAATTTTGCCATTCGTATTATTGGATATTCGTAATAAAGAGTATACGTACTATTGGACGTCCACTGTATGTGTAAAGAAACAAAAACGACCCCTACAAATATTTAGATAACTACAACAACTACAATAGTAGCAGCAACAACATTAAAGGTTACCAATAATTTAACAAAGGGATGGATATATTGTAGTTTTAAATGCATTCAATAATAAACACCACTGCTTCCTTCCTTCTTTCCTACCTACACCTTCCTTTCCACCCTCTGCTTTGTGTTCTTTGAGTAATTTTTCGGTTAGTGGATGTGTAATACACATATTTTTTTATTTCGATTGTGATAAAATGTTAATCTTTTCTTCGTTTTTTATTAAATTTTATCTAACACAAAAAGTAAACCTTTGTTCTCAATTATTTTTTAACTTAATTTCAATTATATTACATTAAAAAAAACAGGTTAGATTGTTCCTATTTGCTAAATAATAAAGTATGTACGAAGAAAAAACTGTTTTAATAAGGGGCGGATGAGTCACGGGCTTACGTCTGTTATATGCTACATTACTATAGTGGGGAAGTTATAATAAATTTGTGCTGATGTTTGTAACGCATAAAAGTATTGGTCCAACAAAACTCTTGAATCACACCTAATCAACTCAGCATCAGTTCATAAATGGATTTAAATATGTTGGTCCAAGAGTTCCGTTTATGTACGTTGTGAAATCAATCTAAAGGTTGCAATATTGAAGATAATTCACAACCCTTCTGATACTGTAATCGGTCCATAATTTTAGCTAGCATACATTCAAATGTATAACAGTCCACCCCTACCAAAACTGTCGGAAATATGTACATACACACAAAAATTTTGCAGAACTAGGTTTTCTTAATATCTACTACATTTTTATTTTGCAAATTGAACAATATCTTATGCCTATTAGTGCTCTCTTTTAAAGCACATTCCTGAAAAAATTTGTTTATACGGTTGTAAGGTATCATATAGCCGGTCTTGTTGAACTTTTCTTCTTACCAGTTCTGACTTTTGTTTGTTTTTTCTGTTCGCCTGGTATAAGGTGTATAATTTTATTTATTCGTTGTAGTCTTTCCTCCTCTGCTGCTGCTGCTGCATAGCTAAACGAACAACAAAAACACTGCTGCTTGGCCTCTCGTTTTGACTTTGATACGTAATCACTTTGTGTTGCTGTTTTTTCTATGTTCAGTTTTTTTGTTTTTATTTCAGTTTCTTGTATTGCATTTTTCTATTTGTAAATTTAAGTTTTCATTACAAATTTCAGTTTTTTTAGTGTTGGATATGAATTTTTAATGATCATGTTAATGATCAGTGGTATTATTGTATTTTATCTCTTCTTTGTTAATATAAATGTTTGTTTTTTTTTAGCTGTAAGAATCGGCATACATAAAAAATTGCATGTACATTTTCAAGGACTATGTTATCAAGGACAAACAACAGTTTTTGTTGATTACAACTACACAAAAACGAAGGTTTATTATTTTTTTCTCTGCTGGTTTTTGTGGTTAAAATTGCAAATTTATACATATTTAGGTTTAATTTCACAATTTTCAAATCTTGTTCTCTTTTGTATAAAAATTCGTCGGATTAAGAGTTAAACCTTGTCGTAGTGATACTTTTAATATATTTTATTGTTTGTTCTGATTATGCCTCTATACTCCCTATAGATTTAGATTTAAGAAGTGAAAAAAAATCTCAAAGAAAATTAATTATTGTGAATTTGCTCGTAACTTCATTCTTTTGAATTTGGAAGATTTTTCTTTAGTTCTTTTTTCTTTTAAAAGTTATAAAATAAAACGATGTATTTTCATTTGACAGATATTTTACATACCACAGCAATTCTTTTACTTAAACGCTTTCTAAAATATAGAGTTTCAAAAAGAAATGAATTTCCGTTTTTTAAAGAATAATTTTTATAGTCTTTATTTATTTAGTCGCATATGGCGCTATTAAGAAATTGCAATAACCTTCACACAGTATTATACTTTATTTAACAAGTTCAATGACATCAACAAAAAATGTGAAAAACGAAATAATTTGTTACCAAAAGATTTTGCTAAAAATAAAATAGATTTTATAAAAACGATCAAATTTTCCATTTATTATATAAAATTCTGTGGAGTTTTTGATGCTTCAAATTGGCTCCAAGTACTTTTCGTTGGTCCACCGTTTAGAAATTTTTACATTCTACAAGATTAGTTGCAATAAAATTTGATTTCAAGTATCAAACATTTATGTGAAAGCCTTGGTGGTGACTTTAAATATTCCCAAAGCTTAAGCTAAATAATTATTTCCTAAACGAAATATATAGCGATATTTTCTCTGAAAGATTTCACACTTTTTTAATTTGCACAATATTTTAAATAATTTCTTGAACTACTCTTGTTTCTAAACAATATAAAATATAGTTTATAAGTTATTGGAACTCTGCTTCATTAATTTACTCTAGAATTTCAAACAAAACAAATTTGAAACAAAGAAATAAAACAACATTTAGCTGATAATTTTTGAACTGTTACTATTGCGATTCGAAAAAATATTTGCTGATTTATATTTTAAAAAGTATGCAAAAAATGTTTGTGATAAGATGACAAAGCAATTTGAACAATTGTTGCCTATTTGAAAAATAGAAACATTATAATATCATGTATCATGAGAAACATCAAATGTTAGGTAAATGCTAATGAAATAAACAGGAATTTTTTAAATATTATAATATGTGTAGTTAAGTGATTGGAGAGGGAACATTAAACTTTAAAAATTTAAACAGTTTGCAAATGTAATAATATTGCGAATGTATAGAGGATTATCATTCAAAACAGCATATCTTAACTTTATGGCAAATTAGTGCAATTTAACGGTACATATTCATACACAACATTTTATAACAAACTTTTAATTTAGAATGTGTCTCTTTTGACTCACCTGCTTCTATTGCTATTTAACAATTATTTTTAACTCTCGCCCACTATTGTATCAAAGTTTTAACCTATCAATATTACGTTAAGATTATTACGTAAATTTCTCCACTTTCTATTATCTAATACGTTCACATATTAGTTTTTTTATTCAATTATTAAACTTTAATCTTTATAACTATGCAAAGTTTAATTTTAGAACTTGATGTTGATTTTTTAGTACAAAGTCATTAGATTTTGTTTTTGCTTTTTAATGCATTCAATACTATGTTACAAATTGATTGCTATACATATTTTTTTTTTCTATAAAATAATTGTTAACTAACAAATTTGTTGTGTGGACGTGTTGGAATTTTTAATAAACTATTACGATGACATTTACTATTCATCAAATCATATGAGTTTCAATTTATTGTTTATATCATCAAATGCGAAAAGGGTATAAACAAAAATTTTATATTGCGCTTTAAAAAATTTTTAAATTTTCTCATAAACAATAAGAAAAATATAAAAATTCTTATTTAAAGTTATTGAAAAAGTATGGATAATAATATGTATAATTTGCAGTTTATGAAGTAATTTTTATTTCGATTATTATTTAGTTTTCTTTAAGAAAGTTTGCTCTCATTATATTCCATATGTTACTGTTGCTCCCTCCATCTGTCAGTCGTTTAATAGTAGGAAGTCTAGTATAATTTAATTATTTTTTAAGTTTTGCTATTATAATTCCTCACAATCAGTCTAGAAATTATAGATAAAGCGGGCCTGCAAATATTTATTTTTTATGTTAAAGCTATAAACATTTGCACATAATCCTTTGTGACAATTTAATTCTCTATTTTGAGATTATGTCATTCGATAACGAACAAAAAATCTAGTAAATTTTACTTTAATTTTGCTATAGAAAACGAATTTTCCATACGGATATGGTTCTTTATTAACCAAAAAACAAAATTACTTATTAAAATTTTTACAGGCGTTAACTAGTTTTTAGAAATTTTGTTTTATAGTTCCCGTTTTCTTTTTTATATAAAATTTAACTGAAAATTAAACTTTAATAAAACATTTATTTGTGCTTCAAGATCTTAATGATTTGCCAATGTTAAACAGTATGAATTTCCTGTTAATTGGCTGTTGTTAGTGTTTCCTTTTTAAATACATCTACTTTTTCTTTCTTATCGCTAATGTGGTTTAATGGTAGTTGACTCACTAAAAAACTTAACATGATAAAACCATTAATGACAAACAAATTTCTATTTAAAAATCTAATTAAATAGAGAAATTTTCTTGCGAAAGAAATTAAATAATTATTTTTTCTCTTTATAATTACAGTGATTATCTTTTCAAATTACTTTTGATTGGCGATTCTGGTGTAGGAAAATCCTGTCTTTTATTGAGATTTGCTGACGACACATATACAGAAAGTTATATCAGCACAATTGGTGTGGATTTTGTAAGTTTTTAACTACAAACTTTTTAATAAGAATTAAATCTTCTAATTCAATTCATTTTTTGATTACAGAAAATTAGAACCATAGAATTGGATGGCAAAACCATAAAATTGCAAATTGTAAGTTTATTTTGTTAAACATTTTGTAAGCATTTATTTATATTTTATTATAATTTCATTAATTTAGTGGGATACTGCTGGTCAAGAGCGTTTCCGTACCATTACATCTTCTTATTATAGAGGTGCTCATGGTATTATTGTTGTTTACGATTGTACGGATCAGGAATCCTTTAACAATGTTAAGCAATGGTTGGAAGAAATTGAACGATATGCCTGTGAAAATGTCAATAAGTTGTTGGTGGGCAACAAAAGTGATTTAACCACCAAGAAAGTGGTTGATCATACTACAGCTGCGGTGAGTTTTGTTTATATAAGAATCTTATTTTATTTCCTATGATTTCCTGATGATCTCCCCTAAGTAGCTGAAGAAATAAAATTTGGACTAGTCAACAGACTAGTTAACAAAATTATAATCTATAGGCTAGAAATTTGATTAGTCTACAGACTATTTAACATACTAGTCAATGCACTTCTTCATATATTGGTCAATAGAATAGTTAATGCACTAGTTAATAGAGAAATCAATACAGTACACTATATATTAGCCAACAGACTGGTCCATAGACTAGTAAAAACCCTAGTTAATAGAATAGTCAATACAATAGACAACAGAACAGTCACTAGTTAATATATTGGACCCTATAATAGTTCACAGTCCTGTCGATAGGATAGTCTAGAGGCTAGTACATAGACTAGTCTGTGGCCGAAAAGTAATTCAATACATTTAAACCTAAATAATGGAAAAAGTTTCATTAAAATCCTTTGGCATTACCAGAAAAAATAAACAATCGATCTTACTATTTAATCATTTATTTTTCAGGAATATGCAAATCAATTGGGCATTCCATTCCTTGAAACTTCAGCCAAAAGCGCCACCAATGTGGAGCAGGCCTTCATGACAATGGCGGCTGAAATTAAGAATCGTGTTGGGCCACCATCGAGCGCTACTGAAAATGCCAGCAAAGTTAAAATCGATCCAGGGCGTCCAGTCGAAAACACCAAATCTGGTTGCTGCTGAATAATTACTCCCCAACTTATTGTGAATCATTATTTTATTATAATATAAACAAAAACAAAAAAACAGAAACAACCCATAAAAAACAACAACAGTACATTTAATTAATAAATCTAAACTTAAAACAAACAACAACAAAAGAAAAACGTAACGAATGATGATACAAAAAAATAATAACATGATATATAAACGTAAAAAATCAACTTAAGTAAATTTTTAACAAAAAAATTAAAGTTTTTTTTTGAATGTTGGACTCTTCACATAGACGTTGAAGAAGAAGACATTCAGATATAGAACTTATGATGATAAAGATGCGATAATGACGATTGGTTAATACATTTGATTTCATTGATATAATGTTTAAACAATCGCTCCTATTTGTGGACACAACATATATAAGTATATATTTAAACAAAAAAGAAATAACATCAACAAATCGTAATAAAAGAAGAATATTTTTTTTTATTTTTAAAGTGTGTAGTAGCTAAATAAAAATGATTAACAAACAAAAACAAAAAAAGAGAAAAATATAAACAAAAAATAACTATAAAACACACCAATCAATAATAAGAACAACAGACAGGTTACAGTTTTAAAGAAAAGAAAATGTGAAAATTTAGTTATAAGATTCTGCTTTTTCTCTTAGCTTCATATACATACTTTCCATAATTTGTTCCAATTTTTGGCCTCTGATTTCAAAAACTGTATTTATTACTGGCAACAATAGCAGCATATCTTTATACTTTACCTTCTTCTATAACTTACACTCACTTTTAGTAGTTGGTTGATGAAATAAAGCAACAAAATAACATACAACGTATTAAACGTTTTCATTGTCATTTTATTTAGATTTCTATTCTATTTATTTTATCTAGAAGAAAAACCTGTTCTGTTAAATTTCATTTAATCTCTTGTGTTTTTTTAATTTATTTGTTCTATTTAATAGTTTGTGATGTGTAACGAGTATTTAAATTAAATTCATATTAGTTTTAATTAGATTTTGTTTATTTCTGTTCTTTCATTAATTCCAGTTGCTTTTTTCAGTTTTTAAGCACGTTTTTACTCGTAATTAAATTAAAATTACTACAGTTTACTAAATATAAAAAACAAAGAAGAATAAAGCAAATAAAACCAATAAAAACAACAAATTATATATATATATAATTAATACCAACAAAAATAAAGAAAATAAAACATAAAATATATTAGGAACATCAATATAGTTTGCAAAAAAAATAAATAAAAATTATACATAAATAATTAATCTAAATCTAAAAAATATAGTTCATAAAATTGATTACATTAATATATAAATTATAAAAAAAACCAAACTAGATTTCATTTGCAAGTTTTATTATTATTTCGTTTCTATATTCTTTTGTGTCTTTTAAACGAATATAATTTTTTATAATTTTATATATTTAATAAGGGTTTAAATAAAAATATATAAAATATTTAAATAAAATTAAATTTGTATTAAATAATTTTCTCTTTTCTAAAGATAATTTAAATTTCAAAAAAGTTTTGCCACGAAATTTACAACTATTGGCAGCTTTTATTTACATATTTGCGTTGCCAATAATTATTAAGCTAAAAATTGCAATATGGCAACTTTTGCCAAAAAATACAACTCTTCACAACTTGTTTATTGTCATTTATTTGCCGTTGTAAAAACTTGTGATAAACGTGTTTGTGAGGTGCTTTAGTGTTTTATTTATAATTTTAATGCTGGAAGATAAATTGCAATTTGTGTTCGTATAGAGACATAAACAACTGGTGAAATTTCTTAATAAACCAACAATTGTATGCCGATTACAAAATGTTAATTACTGTGGTTTTAGTAGAAGCTGTTCGTTTGTGTTTTTCTGTAAGACTTAAGAAAAATTTGTTCATCCAGTGTATTGTGCATGGTATAAAGAAAACAAGGTAACTCCGTTCTCTCTTAATGAAAAATTTTTTGACGTAAATAAGATTTTTTGATATTTAGTTTTTGAAACAAATAAATAAAAACGTTGCCACACAGTTTAAAAGGGAAATTATATTTAGGAAATCAGAATTAAAAAATGTGTAATTTTGTTTACTACAAAAGTGTAACTGTTGTGAATTGCAAATATAAACGATTATAAATACGTTTTAATAAATGTTTTATTATTGTTTTATATTTTTATATAAACTAACACTTTACAAAGAACGAATGAAGGTGATTAACCATAAATTCGCTGGAATTTCTTCTTTGATGGTATGTTGAAACTCCCATATAATGCTGGCCAGTGAGACTGGCCAACATCTCCCGACACACAAATTTGGAAGCAACAGACTTTGGTGGATAGTATTATTTGATTTATATTTTGTAATCTCACGGATTATTTGTTTTATTTATAATATTTTTTAATTTATGTTTGAAAAAATATTTTTTACAGACATTTGAAAAAGAAATATAAAAGTAAACAAAAAACATAGGTTTTTAAGGTAGATATGGTAGCACGATTTTAAGCAATAAAATAATAATTCGCCCAAACGTCAGAAGTTTAATATGGCTACAAAAAGAGAGAACGGCTATACCTTTATTTTTTCTACTATGGTATTGTGTAAACTATTTTGTCCTGAAGGTATAAGGGTTCGCAAAACTAGTAGAATTGTATTTTTTTGGTACAATTCGATCTTTAAAGTAGATCGGTACACGAATTGGTACAGTTTGCAATATATTTCTATTGTCTAGTCTGTCTGTTTGACTAGTCGATGACAATACTATTGTCTAGTCGATTTTCTATTCAATAGACTAGTCTATTGTGTAACATATAGGTATATAGACTCTATAGAGCAGTCTTTGTCTTGATTAGCTAATGGTTAGTCTATTGTCCAGTCTACAGACTAGTCTTTGATCTGCAAAAAGGCGTAACACGATATAATACTGTGAAAAAATGTTGTTTTTATAACAATAGCTTTCATTTTATTTAGTTTTTGGTCTCTCCTATATATTGTCAAATCTATTGTCTGGTCCTTTGTCTAGCCCATTGATTGGACAATGGTCTAGTCATTTGTGTAAAATTCATAAAATTAAAAAAAAACTTGTTACAATCGGGAAGAAAAAATTTCATGTGCAATCACTGATTCATAATATTTAATTTTGATCGTTTGAAAAAAATACCAAAAATATTTTAGTTATAATAGTTGTGTTTTGTTGCTAACGTTCAAAGGCAATTTCATATAAATTTAAAATTTATAAACGTTAGGAGTTAACGTGTAAAATTATACAAGTTAATTTTAACGTTGATAAAAGTGCTACCAATTCAAAAATAAAAATACAAATATTAATGTGTTTATGTCAAACAATAAAAAAATATTTTAAAATAAAATTTAAATCAAAGAAAATTACCAAATAAAAAAACCTTTTCAAGAAATTGTAAATAATTTCAAGATTTAGCAGATTTCTTCTGTGGAGTGATGCCAAGTCAGGTAATGTTCGTTTTGTTGCTAACTTTAAGCGTTAACACTCATTGATAGCAACAAAACACAACTAATATCGATATACATATTTCGAACGTATGTATCTCAAATGTGAAAATCAAAACTATTTTAGGTCGAATATAACAGCGACAACTGAATTTTGTAAATTTTATATGTGGTTGCAAAGATTTTAAAATTTTTTATAAATTCATAATTAATCCTATGATTCATAATTATTAATATAAGTAAATTGTATTTTTGCAGAAACGTTTAACAGATAAGAGCAATAGAAAAGTTATTCATATTAACTAAAGAGTTTCTATAACAGATGTCATTGTATGGATATAATTGTCCAAATGTAAGGAATTTAAAATTGGAGCAATAAAAAAACTTTATAAAAACGCGCTTTAAATGTATGTAAGTATTTACTTATATATACATGATTTCCATTTATTCTAATATATTTATACAAATTATAATGTTAATAAAATAAATAATTATTCATTAAATAAAAATATTGTTTATTTAAATTAGTTAATCACTGTTACAAGTCCTTATTTTGTAGTAAATTTCATTAAAACCTACAAAAACTTGGCAGCACTGTTTCATTGTAAAATTAGCGCCATCTATTGTTTTGTATGATTCATTTTGCAAAAGCAAAAAATCGAGTTTCTCAGTCTGGCAACATTTGACTGAAATTTGCATGCCGTTACCAGTGTTGCCATACTTTTAAAAATATAAGTATAGTATGGCAGCACTGGTAACGGCATGCGAATTTCAGCCAAATGTTGCCAGACTGAGAAACTCAATTGTTTGCTTTTGCAAAATGAATCATATACAACAATAGATGGCGCTAATTTCACATCAAAACAGTGCTGCCTAGTTTTTGTAGGTTTTAAAAGAATTTAACGGTTTTAACGGATCAAAATTAAATTGGAATTGATATTTGAGACCTCGGAAACAACATGAAAACAATTTATTTTTAATATTCATTATTCTTTTATTATTAACATTTATTTTATTTGCTTAAATACTTTTTTACAATTTATTTTTTGTTTTTAACAATATTATTATAAATTGAGCTTAATTAAATGAATAAATTTACTTTTTTTTGTAAAATTTACAAAAACTTAACACATTTTCAGTTCTTCTACTTGTTTTTATTTTTTACTGACATTTTTAAATGTCAGTTTTGAAGGAGTTGCCATATTAAAGTTTTAAGAATATAAATGTTATTCTATTGTTAAGGCAGTTAATAAACAAACCATTACGTTTAAGTAATATTACTAATAGAAAACTTTAGATAATAACTGTATTTATCAAAAAAGTGTTTATTAAAAATGTTTAATTTCTAACATAATTTTTTTATATTTTAAAACCTTTTTAGATAATTTTTTATTAAATTATTATTATTTTCAAAATTTTAATAAACAAATGAAAAAACTCACTTTTATTAAATTTATAGGAACCAAATGTTTAAATATTTATTATGTCTTAAAGAAAATAATTTTTTAAAGTGGGTTATTTTTTTCAAAATTAAGAATTCTATGTAAAAAGTTTGTTAGAAATTGTTATTGTTAAAAAATAATCATTAAAACATTGTTTCAGATGTATAATAAATTGTTTAAATATTTTCATAGCTTGATTGAAACAAAGTATTGCTCCAATTATAACGTTTTAATTGGAAATTAATTATTTTTATTTCATGCTACTTACAACATTAGTTTAATTAATTACACACGTAAATATGTATGTATGTATGTTCTACTTTACAATTAGTTTCTGTTAGTAGAATTATTAATTTGCAATTATCATTGGCGTTTTAATTATTAAACTATCATCGTTTAAAATAGTTTACACAATATTACAGTAATGTTTAATTACATAATGAAAATATTAATTAATGGAGTGCGACTAAAATACGATTAACAACACTGATCAACAAATGTTTAACCTAGGATTGAGCAGCGCTGAACCCGAATGTCAAAATTTGGTCTCTGGGCTTCGACTTTTTTAAAATTTTGTTGGCCTGTGTAATCAATAGGCTTAATATGAAACAAATCCAATTTTTTACTCAGATTAATATTGTAATTTTAAGGCATGACGGATTTTTCTTTTTCTGTATCTGTTCATCGGAAATTCTTTCAGCTAAATTAGTTTAGAACTTTGATTTTGAACTTCTTCAGCATAACTCAGTCCTCCAATTTAAGTTATAGTATTTCAAATTTCGAAATTCTTTTAACAATTTAATTTACTTTATAAATTTTCGGGTGTTCGAATAAACTCCGATGTTTTACCTAATATAATGTTCATTTAAACGCAATTAATTAATATTAACAATTTAAATTCACTACAATTAATACTAATTTATATTTACCTTAGAATAAGTATGTTCTTAATTAAAATACATGGTAGTCAAAGCCGCAGTACTCATATCGGTTATAGCCGCTGCCAATGAATGTGACTCGGGAGCTTTTGTGACGCCAGTAACTGAAGTTGAAACACTATTACTACGCCAGGTAGTCGATGTACGTTCCGTACCCGATGAAGTTGATATAGAATTCGCCAAGAAAGTAGCTTCTCTCCTAAAAGGTCTACGAGATCTTAAACTATTGCTATTTTTCATAACATTAGTTTCCCTTTTCGTATAGGTGGTGATCTGATGTCGAGAACAGAGATTTCTTTTACGCTTGTGATGACGACAACAGGAAACAATGAGACGCCAAAAACCGCTGCGAAATTTCGAGGACATTAGATTATAAAGTATAGGATTAAGCGCTGAATTGAGATACAACATAATGCGGCAGAAGTATAAAATATTGTAATAGCCCTCCAAACCCAATGAGCCCACTTCCTCCTGGGAACTGGCTATAATCCAAATGGTAAAAGCACGAAATGGTAAGAGACAAAGAAAAAAACTTGCTACCACTGCCACCAGCATAAATATCACTTGTTTGCGATGTTTGCGCAAACTATTATTTTGGGGATGTGAATTGACTCGATTGCGGCGGGCAGCCGATAATTTCACTATAATTTCTTTAGAGGGCATAATGCAGCTATTCGTTTCGGTTACCACTTCCATGGCAGCCGTTGTTACTGCCTCATTTATGTTGGGCGAGGTGGGACGCTGAAATTCCGAATGTCTTCTTAATAATTTATAAGCAATGGCGGTGTATAGAACCACCAATATGGCGAAGGGTATGAAAAAGAATACTATTATGCTGGCCACAAAGTAAAATGTACTCCAAAATGTTTCGGCTGAAGTAAAACAAACTGCCACTAAAGTACCATCGTAATAGGGCTCCAAACGATAGGTGGCTATTAAAATAATGGGGCTAAAGTGCATAAAAGAAGTGGAGGAGGAAAGAAATAGAAAGGTCGCAGCTGTTTTAATTAAGTTTTCAGTTTTAATTTATAATTATTTTATAGATTTTTGTTGTAATTTTAAACTATTAAGAAAAAGCAAAAGCTACTTAACAAATAAAATCATTTGCCACTGCTACTATTAATTAAAAAAAAACAACAATATTAACATTTATATTGTTGCCATTATCAACTATCATTTTAATTGATTAATTACATTTTATTCTATTAAATGACAAATTTTCTTTCAATTTTATTTAGAAACAAGTTGAACTTTTTTTTTGTCTTTCAAACTTAACTTTTAAATGTTAATTGTTTTAAACCAGTAGCAATTAATTATTTAATTAATTCATTTAAACGTTTTGTTGTAGGAACAAGTAATTTAAGTTATATACGTCTAGGCCGAAGGCATATTCTGAAACGTGTGCCAGTTGTTAATATACCGACAGTTTGTAAGGAGAATACTCGAAAAGAAGAAAATTGGGTGTTCTAAAAGCGACTTTCATAAAAGATTAGTTAAAATCGACTTAGTCAAATGTAAAGTATTCGCATTTGCTGGATTCGCCTCTGACTTCAACGAGGCGAACTGATAATAACGTGTTGACGACTGACTTCTCATTGTCACGAATGGAAAATTCAGTACCCCTACGAAATTTTCGATACTTTTTTAACTTATAAACTTTTGATAAGTCTTCAATTGTACAGTCTAGTCTACAATCTAATCTGTAGTCTGGTTTATAGTCTAGTCTATAGTCTAGTCTATTCTAAGTACTCTACAATTTATTTTATTTTATAGAGTAGTCTGTAGTCTAGTCCATAGACTCGACTATAGGACTAGTTTGGCATATAGTCAAGACTTTAGTCTAGTCTTCTAATTCTATAGATTCGCCTTGGACTCTACCTAGACATGGAAAATTCAGAAACCCTACGACATTTTTGTTACTTTTTTAACTTACAAATTTTTGATAAGTATTCAATTGACCAGTCTAGTATATACAGGTCTATTATGAACAAGTATTCCTCGGCAGTTTGTTCCCTTTTCCGTGCTTAAGGTATAGGAGAGGGAACAAACACCCAGGGAGTTTATTATTGAGAATAGGCCTGATAATCTAGTCTATAGTCCAGTTTATAATCTCGTCTACAGCCCTACTTTATAGTTCATTCTATAGTCTAGTATATAGTCTTGTCTGTAGACTAGTCTATAGTCAAATCTATAGTCTAGTCTATAGTTTAGTCTATAGGCTAGTCCATAGTCCAGTCTATAGTCTAGTCTACAGTCTAGTCAATATCTTGTTTATAGTCCAATCCGTAGTTAAGTCAATAGTCTAGTTTATAGTTTAGTCTATAGTCTCGCCGAATACAGTTTAGTCTATAGTCTAGTCCATCGACTATATAGCCTAGTTTGTAGTCTAGTCTGTAGTCTAGTCGGTAGTCTAGTCTAAAGTCTAGTTCTAGTCTAGTATAAGCCTACTATTTTTGTTATTAGTTAGTACTATTTTAAAATTTAAATTTTCCATGCCTGACTCTAATCAAATCCCTTTGGACTTCATAAAGACAAATCTATAAGGCGAATACTGCCGTTTGTTTAAGGTTCACGGAAATTTAGCGCAAGGCTGTAAAATTCTATGAATTCTTGAAGCGACATTGTCATACAGCTTACTATATTATAAAATAAAACGAATTCGCCTCGTTTCCGATAAATTTTCTTGTACAAAGTAAATTTTTTTTTACTTTTTTTGAAAATAGAAATTTCTAATAGTTCTTCACTAATCACTTTCTAAATGCTTTCTATAAAACTTGATTTGTAATTTAAAACATTTAAAATTCAAATATTAGAAATTAAATAATAACAATTTTACATTATTCATGATTTAAGAGGTGTCACCAATTACAAATCGAATCAAGTGTTAGTTACTTGAATTAGAAATTAAAGTAAAAAAAATGTCATTCTAAAATAACTATTGACAGTTTTTTTTACAATTGTTTCAAATCATAAATTTGCAACATAGGCTCTATAAACAGTATTGTACGAAATCTAAGTATTTTCCCTATTTAGATTTGATTACAATTTTGTTCAAAACTAATCCAACTAGTTAAAACTTAAGTAACTTAGTATTTCTTATGGCTTCGATATGTCATTATAAAAAAGGATGATTTATTATTGTGATCACTAATGTGGCTTAGGTTTCGTACAATACTGTTTATATTGCAAATTTATTATTAACTTTCTTTTTATAATACTAAATTGTTGTTCCTTTATATTTGTTATTACATTGTAAGCACTAATTACTTGAAATTTATAAAGAAATTACTATTTAATTTCTACATTTTATTTTAAACAACTATAGACAACATTGAAATAAACAAATAGAATAAGTAATGTTTTATTTGTTGTTAAATATTTATTTCAAAAACAATTTTCTACAATTTTTTTTTCTTTCAAGCTAATTAAATAAACTTGTAATATGTAATAAATATAATTATTATTATACGACGCATACAAATTAATTAAATAAATATATAAGGAAAAATATAAAAATAGTTTAAATATTTTTTCTAAATTTAGTTAATACCAGCTAACTACTATTTAGTATAAAAATAATATAATATAAACAATTACAAGCAAATAGAAAAAATGCAAAAATATTTAATTCAAAACTACTGGTTACTAAATACTTCTACTTATTAATTAAAGCAACTACAAGTTTAAGCATTACATACATTTATTTATTTACGGTTTCAAGGTTTAAACTATTTAATCATTATTTTTCATTTTACAGGAAATTCTTTTATTTATTTAAATATTTGCACAAAACTTAGTTAATTTAAATATATATTTTTAACAATTTCCCTATTTACAACATACCACAACATAAGAATACTAATTTATTTTATTTTCCTTTGTATTGCTTCGTCCTACCAACTGAATACAATTGTAGCGACAGCGCATAACGATAAAAGAATGTTGAAAGAATATTCTCTTGGCGCCAAAAATATAACACAAATAGGAGGATTTTTAGAGAGCGAGAATGAAAACAAAGGTGAATATAGATTCGGCGAAGTAATTTAAACAGCTGATTCGAAGGATAAATCATTTCTATAGTCTATTCACAGACTGTAGACCTGACTATAAATTATACTACAGACTAGATCATAGACGTGCCTTGATTCTCGTATATAGACACGACTATAGACTAATATATAGTCTAGTCTATCGTCTAGTCTATAGTCTAGTCTACAGTCTAGTCTATAGTCTAGTCTATCGTCTAGTCTATAGTCTAGTCTATAGTCTAGTCTATCGTCTAGTCTATAGTCTAGTCTATCGTCTAGTCTATAGTCTAGTCTATAGTCTAGTCTATAGTCTAGTCTATAGTCTAGTCTATAGTCTAGTCTATAGTCTAGTCTATAGTCTAGTCTATAGTCTAGTCTATATTCTAGTCTATAGTCTAGTCTATAGTCTAGTCTATATTCTAGTCTATAGTCTAGTCTATAGTCCAGTCTATAGTCTAGTCTATAGTCTAGTCTATAGTCTAGTCTATAGTCTAGTCTATAGTCTAGTCTATAGTCTAGTCTATAGTCTAGTCTATAGTTAGTCTATAGTCTAGTCTATAGTCTAGTCTATAGTCTAGTCTATAGTCTAGTCTATAGTCTAGTCTATAGTCTAGTCTATAGTCTAGTCTATAGTCTAGTCTATAGTCTAGTCTATAGTCTAGTCTATAGTCTAGTCTATAGTCTAGTCTATAGTCTAGTCTATAGTCTAGTCTATAGTCTAGTCTATAGTCTAGTCTATAGTCTAGTCTATAGTCTAGTCTATAGTCTAGTCTATAGTCTAGTCTAGTCTAGTCTATAGTCTAGTCTATAGTCTAGTCTATAGTCTAGTCTATAGTCTAGTCTATAGTCTAGTCTATAGTCTAGTCTATAGTCTAGTCTATAGTCTAGTCTATAGTCTAGTCTATAGTCTAGTCTATAGTCTAGTCTATAGTCTAGTCTATAGTCTAGTCTATAGTCTAGTCTATAGTCTAGTCTATAGTCTAGTCTATAGTCTAGTCTATAGTCTAGTCTAGTCTAGTATAGTCTAGTCTAGTCTAGTCTAGTCTAGTCTATAGTCTAGTCTATAGTCTAGTCTATAGTCTAGTCTATAGTCTAGTCTATAGTCTAGTCTATAGTCTAGTCTATAGTCTAGTCTATAGTCTAGTCTATAGTCTAGTCTATAGTCTAGTCTATAGTTTAATCTATAGCCTAGTCTATAGTCTAGTCTATATTCTAGCCTATAGTCTAGCCTATAGTCTAGTCTATAGTCTAGTCTATAATCTAGTCTATAGTCTAGTCTATAGTCTAGTCTATAGTCTAGTCTATAGCCTAGTCTATAGCCTAGTCTATAGTCTAGTCTATAATTTAGTATATAGTCTCGTTTATTGTTTAGTCTATAGTCTAGTATATAGCATAGTCTATAGTCTAGTTTTTAGTCTACACTTTGACGTTTTCTAGCGGTTTTTGGAATATATTTTGGCGGGAAATGTTGACAAAAAATTGACAACACTGTTTGTCGACTCCGAAGTCGATTGTTCGAATGTTCATTTATAGAAACATACTTACTCCACATCTATTTAAAATATTAAAAATTCGTCCTCTTTGTCGCTTGCAGCTGTGGTCTTAATTATAAACAAACCGCCACATGTGTTACCTTTAACAGTTAACGGTTAATACTTGAAAACTTTCTTCTAACACGTTTATTTAAATTGTAAAAATTATCTCAAGTATAAATAACTTATTCGCTGATAAATTTTGATGAAGGGTTTTGCAGGATATCTATTTTTATTACATACATAAATTTAATTCATTTCAGAGTGTGTTTGCTGCTTGTTTGGAAGAGTGTGTAGGCGTAGTAAAAGGAAAATGGGGATACTTAAGTTTGCATGTAATCGATTCATGACCTGCTCAACAAGAACATACTTTTCGTGATTAAGTTAAA